GAAAGTTAGAAACTTTTCGAATTCTCTTGATAAATAAGTTCGAAAGTTCGAAATTCATCGAATTTTTTGGTCAGTCAAGTTCGAAAGTTCGACAAGAATCGAACCTTGCAGCGCAATAAGTTCGAAAGTTCGAAAAAAGATCGAATTTTTTAGCGTAATAAGTTCGACGGTTCGAAAAGCGTCGAACTTCTTAGCTTAACAAGTTCGAAAATTCGACCTCGGTCGAATTTTACGATATAGACAATTCGAAAAATCGAAATCTTTCGAACCTTTCGAACCGCTTGATTCGATCATCGAAACTTCGATTCGAAAAAAGTTTGCGGCATCCCTACTTTTTAGATTGAACCATTATTCCTGACTTTACACTACATTGAAGTGCAGTGCTCAGTGTGTGGCTGCCAAGCAATAAGACAATAGGCGAGTTAAAAATTTTCCTACACCTATATTGAAAAATTTGCTTCCAAAATTGGATGCATTAGACATACAGGCTGTTAAAAAAAAAAAAAATGTTATACTTTGTTTGCCGAGATATCCCTCCTGAAAATCTGTAGAGTTCAAAATTCAGCTTCAGTGCATTATGAGCCCACATAGATATTATAAAATGATATTGCGGCTCAAATATTAATCTTCAAAATAAGAAACTTGGCAGATCAAAAGACAGATAGCTGTAGATTCCAAAAACATAATTTTCCAAGACAGTTTTTTTAGCCATATTTTTTGACTCCAAAGACCTATGACTGGAATACACACAACACCTGTGTCTCTTTTTGAACCGCTTGTATGGTTTGTTTGTTTTATTTAGTTAATAACCTCGGGGTAGTGACGATTCTTTAAGACTCCTGAACACACGCCAGTTGAACACTCGATTGTCGACTGCTTCGTGCTGGCAGCTTCACAAAGGGCAGACTTCCTCGCCTCGCACTTTGCCAAACGTGATTTGCAAATTGTACATGCCGCCATGGCAGCCACTTTTACCAATTGTATCAGTTGAGCTTTTCAAGCTAGCCGAATGCAATGCCTCTTGATGGCAATGAAGAGGAGTTTAAATTCTCCGAGACTTAAATTGAGCAAAGAGGCACAAAATAAATTAAGACATAGGAATCCATCTAACTAGTTACATTGTTCGAACAATTCTCTGTTGGGGCACCGAATGGGAGACCGCTCTCCTTGCCTGTTATGTTTGCGCCGTGCACACATTTGGCAGATAGCTTATTATCTTGCCATTTACTCATGCTTTCCCACACTTGCAAGTATTCATAAACATACTTTAGGAAAGTAGACCGATTGCATTCTGCTCCAATTTACAGGTAGTTTGATTGCACAGATATCAACTATTCAAGCAAGCATAAGCAAGATATAACAACATTCAGTGCAGTAAACATATTCTTTTAGACAGATGTTTTTACCATAACTAACCTTCGAGCATAAACAACATATTAAGATTCAGTGCAGTAAATGTAGATTTTTTTTAGACAGCTGTTTCAACTGTAACTGACCTTCACCATCTAATTTTACAGCAAAGCGGTCAGCGCTAGGATCTGGGAAAAAATGTGTCTGCAGATGTCGACAGAAAACTCCCCATTGGTAGTGGCAACTATTAATAAATAAAAATAAAGAGAGAGCAACCAGCGTCAGTCGGCCTTCCTTGGCATTATTAGATAGTGAGGTCCTGATCCCTTGTTACCATCTCTAGGCATTGTCCTCGAGGTCGTCCTAGAAGTCGTCCTCGAGGTCTTCCAAGGCGTCGTCCTCGAGGTCGTCCAAGGTGTCGTCCTCAAAGTCGTCCTAGAGGTCATTCTCTAGGCGCTGTCGTAGACGTCATAAAGATTACAGCTTCGCTGGTCCTCCATCTTCACGTGAAGCTGGAGGACCAGGACTCTACAATTTTTAGAGCGCAGCTCCTAGGTGCCCGTTCCTGCTTGAGCGGCGGCGGTGCTGTCGGCGTAACCGCGTAGTGCATTATCTGACGCGTGACGTCACTGATGACGTCATCGATGACGATGCTGATGACGTCATCAGTGACGATGCTGATGACGTCATCAGTGACAATGCCGATGATGTCAGTGTCACGTGACCTCACAGGGGTCACGTGACCCCCCGAGGCAACAGTGACGCTTCTCGGAGGGAAGAGTAGCAGACAGGGTGAAAAGGTGAGAGGAGGGGTATACCTTCCCCTCAGTACCCTTCCCCCCTCCTCCTCAAGAGCTGTGCTCCAATTCGGCTTCCATTTTATTTTTTTGTGTTTGCTCCACTTGATCTTTTACACAAGAGGCCAGCTTTGTGTGGGTTCATTTAGACTCGGCCACTCGGTATGTTGGTGAGAAAAACAAAGGCCAGAAGTCTAAAAACGTCTAATCTTCAAGTGAAGCCCCCAAAACTTTGCCACAGATGCAAATGCAAGCTTTGTGTGCCTGACAGCACACACTGGTTGCCAGCAACAGTACCAAACAATCTCCATTATCTGTGACATTTAAGAAAAGGCACCACCTAAAAAGTAAATTTGTTTATGTTAATGTCACTTTTTAGCGAGCCGTTTTATCACCTTGCAGGTCATCTGGCAGATGGTCTGAAAGTTTCACTCCTGTAACTAAAGTATTTTTTTCCGTAATAAGTTATTTCCGACATCCTGTCCAGTGCAGCATTCTGAACATTCAAAAGCTCAAACGCATTTATCTCGGTTTCATTTTTTGCCATCAAAACTCGGTTCAGGAAACTTAACATTTGATAAAGAACTGACGTCTAAAGCCAGTTTTCTACAGTGAAATTTTGAAAAGGAATGCAACTGTAAACTTACACTCTGCACTTCCAGGCTTCCTTTTTTTTTTTTAAGCTGAAATATTTTCTATTTGGCTTTACGCGAACGCTGTAGAGCCAGCGTTCGTGATGGACTGCTCTGACCCACTCCCATTGCAAACTTCTCGGACAAAAATTAATGCGGAGCGCAAGTTTGTGTGCTTCTTGCACAGGGGTTGCGATGAAGTCACAACACCGAGCTCTTATTGGCTGATTGGAAAAAATAGTTGATAGACCTCGAGGCATCTAGCATTGAGGCCTACCCACTGTCCTTCCAATCAAAGCCAGTCGGAACTTGGCATTGTTCTGATGTCACGGCTACCCCTGCGCAAGCAGCAGACGACTTGCTCTCCGCATAAGACGTCACTGCTGCATTTCTTCATGGTGCTTTTGAACCCCACCCAGTCAATCACCAATTCACCCCCACCCTCCATCGCACGCAGCAAACAGCCTAAACCAGACGCAATTCGCAAAACCAGAGATGCTCACTATCACTACACCACACTACGCCGCGAAGGAGGGGGCGGGGCGTTGTCTGCTTTCGGATACAACATTTGACACCGCAAAGCCTCTGCTCGTTGCCAGTAGAGCGGCAGCAAGTGATGCGGAGGTGCATGGTTCAACTTTCAAATTCATTTTCTTGAAAAAAAATTAATATTTTGATTAAATATTTTGTAGACATAGTCATGGGTGGATATTCAGTACATGGTGAAAATTTTATAAAAATCAAAGACCATAAATATTGTGCCGGAGCCACGAAATGAATTAAAGGGGCCATAAATTAATTTTGGACTGGGATAAATAGATTTAGATTGGGATTTCACTAAATAGCATATCGTTTAGTGGGCCAAAAGAGGGTAGAAAATCAAACGCCCGCTTTTCGGTATTTAAGTTTGAAAACATAGCACACTATTTCATACCTCCTTTCCTTCAAAAGCTCTCCACTTTTTCACTGCGATACACCCGCGGTACCCAAAGCACGTCAGCCGGCCCCACCTCGCACAATAAACACGAAACACTGGGTCACTATACTCTGCTCAGCCCCAAGCTGAGAGCACAGTGGGAGCTACGGTCTTGCTGGACCGTAGCTCAACGAGCTCGTAGCTTCCACAGCACTGTCAGCTTAGGAGTGAACAGGTGATAGTTGCGCGCAGTACTGCGGAAGCCACGGGCGGGAGGGGGGAAGCAACCTTTGACAAAATTTAGAGCGACGGGCTAATCTTCTAGGGGGAGAAAGGCAACGCGCAGGTACACAAAGTAGGGTCCGAGCAAGAGGGTAGTTCCTCCTTTCCCTCCTCTTGAACTGCTAGCAGCATACCCAGCAGCATACCCTTACTTCTGTGTCTTTGGTAATGCTGCACGATTTGTGGGTCGAGGAGGAATGCTAGAGGAAGAAGTTAAACAATAATTTCATGGACCCTTCAAAGGACACATGCAAAGGAAAAAAACATTTTTTTTAGACAGCTTAGATGGAAAAAGGATGTCATAAAACGATTTTACAACGAAGAAAAAAAATTTTTAGAGCTGTATTTACGGCGCTATACGAATTTGTAGTTGGTGCTCGCGGGAGCCGTCGCTAGTCACGTGGTAGGCCCGCGCGCCGCCGCGCTGCGTCGCCGCCTCACGCTGAGCGTCGTGCGAACGCCGCTTCAATGCATTTCTCCACGCCGCCGTCGCCGCCGCCGCACAAGTTCGTCTGCTTCAGGGCACCGCCGCAGTCGTCTGACCGGCGCACAGGTCTATCACGTCTGCTTGCGCTTTTTCAGGAGTTTCCTTTGGGCTCTAAAAGTTACCTATTCAGCTTAGTTTTTTGTTATACTTCAAACAAAGATGAATAAGTTATTTTCAGAGGCCATAGGAAGCTTCCGAAAGAACGCAAGCACCACGTGATAAATAAGGGCCAGTCACGTGATAAATACGGACCACTTTTCCGCGGTGCCCACGGGCGCCAACTACAAATTCGTTTTGTGCCGTAAATATAGCTCTAAAAATTTTTTTTCTTCGTTGTAAAATCATTTTATGGCGTCCTTTTTCCATCTAAGCCGTTTAAAAAAAAATGTTTTTTTCCTTTGCATGTGTCCTTTAAAACCTTCATTTGTGCAAACCCTCTGGCAAAACAAGCTTCAACCAGTTTTTGCCCAGTTTTCACTAAGGCTGTGCAACAAATAAAACGGCTCCCAGCCGCCACACCGAATGAGGGATGCGCGAGACTTCATAGACGTTTAATGAAAAAAAAACGTCTGCAGGTACAGAGGGTATACAACATGGCACACAAGCCCGTCCCGCAGCGAGTGTTGTACAACACCGTGTATCAAGAGTGGTGCCATTAAATGGTTTTCTAAACACCTCTACACGGAGGCATCACAACATGCGGGGGAAAAAAGCTCCGGAGGGGATTGTACACTGCAGGAGATGGGTCCCTCAGTAGGCGTCTTCTTTGAGGCGACCCCCGTCTCCTTCAGACACGAAACGTTTGCGGCCCCTGAAAAAAGAAAAACAAAGGTGGCTGCTCAGCAAACAGTTGGCCCCATATGGGCTAGTAGGGATGCAAAACTATTGATAGTACCAACAAACTATCGAAATAGTCAACCATAGATACTAGTACAGTTGAACCTCTTTATAACGAACACTGATATAGCGAATTATCGGATATAGCGAACTAATCACGAAGTTTGGTTGGTCATGCTTTATTGGGATGGGACTTCTAGTTATATAACCAAACCGTGAAATCTGACGCGCTATCGGTTGTAGTGAAGCAATTCCTGCTTTTCTTGCGTCACAAAATACTACAAAGGTTATTAAAAAGTACAAAAAAAAAACAAAAAGGAATTTCTAAACGAAAACTTCCGGAAGTTTAGATCGCCCGATGCGCAAAATTGTGTGTTTCGGGAGGTAGCGCCACCTATGAACCGAGCGAAAAACGGCGGTTGCGCTGCTGCTGGCCTCTACATGAGGAATTAAGAACCAGTGCAGACTAAAGCCAACCGCCAACCACGCTACTCATAACGGAGCAGCAAATGGCAACGAAGCGAAGTCTCCCTGGAGACAAAAGTGAAAATTTTGAGGGCGGTGGACAGCGCTCGGAAGAAAAAAGGCATCACTGTGGACTTCGAGCTTGCACCAAGCACAATATCTACCACCTTGAGTGCAAGGAAGGAGATTGAAGTCTGCTAGGCAAACAACACCGTCAAGACTGACCGAAAGAGTCTGGCCCTTCCTCGACCCAGACATGGAAGAGGCTCTGCTCTCATGGTTTAAAGGGGCGATGCAGCGATTCTTGTACTTTGCGCGAATACCGCTTATAACGGATTCCTTGCGCTAATGACCTGTGAAACACCCGTTCGTATTTCACCACACGCGATCCAAGTCGCAGAAAAAATTAAAGAAAAACGAGGAGGGTCCACCTTCTCAACTTGCAGCCAGATGAAGCGGCCACGTGATCTGGAGCCGATTGTATGCCGCCAATGTTGATCATGGCCACGCGCTGGGGTTGGCAAGGCGCAGGACACGCGCCGAGTTCCAGACATTGTTATGGTTCGGCTATTGTCGTTGTTGCAGCGATTGGACACAAGTCACTGCCCGAATGCTTCTCGAGCTATCGATTATCACGAACCCAAGTCGAGTGTTCACGCAGTGCTCGTGTCCAATCTATGAGCCGCATTCAAATATCGTCACTGGGCGGTACTCCGACCGCCGAGCTACGTCATCAAGTTTTGTGAAGGAGAGATTGAATGGAAACGCTCGCTTTGGTCCTTGAAATTACGCCGCAACAAAGGAGTTTCTCGGCCAGTGCGAATATCCTTGAGTCCTACTAGTGCCAGTAAGCTCGCGTAAAATGAAAAACATTCCAATTGAATATCGTTGCACCGCCCCTTTAAGGACGTAACAGCGCAAAATTTGGCAGTGTCTAGTCAGCTTCTTTAAATGAAAGCAATCTGTCTGGTGTGCGTTAGGGCATGATGATTTCAGTGCAAGCAGCGGTTGGCTCCAGTGCGGTGGCTCCAGGTAAAGAGGCACCAGCCCAAAACCACGTCTTCAAATAAATGGGCTACTAATAGAACGAGCTGCGAGTTGATATCCTCATGCTCCAATCTATTTTTTTAATGCTGCTTAGTGACAGGTAAGGATCTCGTGGTCCGCGATAGCGCGTTTTTTATATCTTAGTGCTGTGCACATTCTTGTACGGGCTCAATTGCGGGAACGTTCGCGTCAATTTTTGTGTGTGCTTTTATAACGAATATCGCATATAGTGAACAAATTTTTGCTCCCAATGCTAGTTCGTTAAAACGAGGTTCGACTGTACTATTGATGTGGAACTATCGATAGTCAAATTTTGGAACGGAAAAGTATCTGGCAGTAAGAAAATGAAAGTAAAATCCAAAAAGGTGACAGAGATGTATTAATGGAGTGTTGACTATCACAACCAACAAAAACGGTCGGATAGTTATACCAATAGTCAACTATCGATAGTACTATCAGTAGTTTTCTGGTAGCTATCTATTGTTTTTTTTTTTACAATTGATAGTTAACACTGGCTTCGACTATCTATAGCACAGTATTTTTTTACTATAATCCACACCCGGTGCATAGTTTGCAGGGGAAAATATGGGGTCAAAAATAAAAGTCTGCTTAGATAATCCACACGTTGCGCATACTCCACACTTAGTGGCTAGTCTGAACGTAAAAAGTACCATACAAAGCACACCTTGACAAATGCCTGCTGTATTAGCTCACAAAGAAGCTTGTTTCATACATAAATAAACACTAATATAGTCCGTTACCCATAAAATCCTTTGCGACTTGTCACAGTGAACTATCTAGAAAAAAACATATCCTTCTATAGTCCGCACCTGTAGATAGTTCGCATCGGGTAAAATTTCAGCTTTCAAACACATATAGTCAAAATGGGGTATCAATAGTACTATTGGTAGTTTTGCACTTCTAGTGCCTAGAAAAAGCCATGAAAGCTAACCGTGCCTAGACAAAGCCACGGAAGCTAGCTGTGCCATCCCCAGAGAGTATGAACTACAACGCTCAATATGGTCATTTGCTAGAATCTGTCATCTCCGATAAGCTCCACTACTTTAAACTGTCTCAGAAACTGGGGCCGATATGTTTGCATTCAGGCCCTGGTTTGGAACACAGCTGTTTTAAAAACTGTCGGGTACGTACAGAGCACGACATTAACGGCAACAAGCAATCGCCGGTTTGCACCAACTTACTATGAACCGAAAAGCTGTCACTAAAACTGCTAAGGTACACCTGCCTTAATTTGACCTCAATGGTGCTTGCAAAAGCGGTTCCAATTATCCAAAATTAGAATTAAAAGGTAAACAAAGAATCAATCTTTTTTTTTTTTTTTTTTTCAGTTGTTCTTGATGTGTAAACGATTATACTAGCGTAGCGGAAAGTGCTCAATTAGGGTATAGTACATACTAACCCAAGCAGTAAAAGTTTGTGCTACAAATATTCTTTTGAAGTAAAAGGAGAGAAACTAATGATGCCGTGTTCACGCTGCGTTGCGCGACCGCGGGAGAAGTCACGCAAGGAGTTCACTGCAACCCCCACCCAAATGTGTTGCCCCATTTCTTGGACTGGTCTCTCATCGACAAGTGTAGGTCATATTTACGAGGGGCGTTCATAAAGTTTGTATTATTGTCGCAAAAGAATAGAGATTCAGCAATCAAACTCGAGTACGAGTTGAGACTTTCTCTACATGTTCGCCACCAAACGTTGCCCACTTTTGCCAGCGATGGACCACATGCTGGAGGTCATTGTTTTACAACTCCTCGTTTTGAGTGTTCAGGAATCGCTACACTTCAGCAATCACTTGGTCGTCGTCCTTAAAACTCTTTCCTCTTGTTTAGCCACACTGGAAGCGTCAGCACCATTTAACCACAGTTTCATAAACTTGGGAGCGTTGTCCCAGACTGGAACAACACTCCCATTCCAATCTGGGAGCGCTGTCCCAGAACAATGCCCCTAGATTGGAATGAATATCCTTGGCATTGCTTCCCTTCAAATGAAAAAAAGAAAAGCGGATCACTGCATGTGCTTGGAACCGACGGGTGGTGCCATTTTGGTTTCGACTCCCAAGCGGAGTTCCGCGCTACTATAGCACATGGTAATACAAACTTTATGAACGCCCCTCGTAATGCTTCGTTTGCCGCATTTCCTACAAAACAATTCTCTAGGTTCCCCGACTCGGTAGAACTTAATTTCAGCTGCCGAACCTGGACCAGGTGAAAGCGCCATTGACCGCCGCGTAATGGCAGCGCTATGGAGCGACAGCCGTGGCGGCTTGTGCACAATAAAGCGCATAAGCCACCGAGCCACCGTTTCACAACATTGCCAGTAGGGGGCGATCGACGATCCCGCGCTCGCCTTCATATGGATCGCGACTCTATGTAAATCCAACGTAATTCTTCGTTCTGTGGGCACTCTAGCAACCGAAGCACCACAAACATCTACCCGCACATTTGTATTTTGCACCGCACCGCCATACGAAGTTGTCTAGAAGCAGAGCTTCAACTCCATGTCTCGATAGAAAGGCCACCCGAGCCTGGAAAGGTCGGCAGAGACATGCGCAGCCAACTTCCGGCGAAGTCTCGTCCGCACCGCGACGTTAGATCAAAACACGGACTAGCGGCGGTGCGAAACAAGACGACGGGGGACGTACCTAGCCGGCATGGTCTTGGCTATCTCCCGAGACAAAAAGCCGGATCCTGTACACTTTGTCACAAATTTCTCCAGCACCGTGTAGGCAGCCGGCACGTCAATGCAGATGTCGGGCATCTCTTGGAAGACCCTGTCAAATCCCTGCATTGCACAAAACAAGTTTGCAGTGAGGCAGAATTTCTGGCTGGGAGTCTTTTCTCTCGGCCCCTGCCTGCAGCATGTCCGGTAACGCGGCCGAAATCTGACGCATGGTCTGATGTGGAATCCTAACCAAATAATAGTCTGACAAAAGTGAAAATTCCCAAATCTCGGTCTGTCGCCGGGAAATGGGAATTTTTAATAGTAATCGTAGCAATGTGCGGTCGTCTAATCCCTACTGTGTGATGTATGTGAACACCCCAAGTCAGCAGTCGTACCGCGCCATCTAAACGTCTTCTACAGCTGCGAAAGGTATGTCACAATAAACTGCACGCTAATCTCACGTAAGGAGTAAAAGCTTTGCATAAAACTTAGAAGAACTTAGAGAAACCTTGTTGACTGTCCCCAAAAAATGATCCAATGATTTCTCTCCCAAATCAGTTCTGCTTGCCCAGTATTCTAGTAGCAGAGAAATAATGAGTACAGACGTACGGACATCGCACGTGCGGCAGTGAACAATGATTGTGTGAAAAGACCCATTTAAAGCCTTCGATGCTTCCAAGTTGTGTTCTCTGAGTCGATGGTTAACGCACCTCCCAGTTTGTTCGATGTACTGACTGCCGCCGCTTAGTGGAATTGAATCAACTTTTCTTTCTTCGTGCTCTACAAACTTTTAGGCATGTTTAACTTAGCACCCTCTGGGACTATAGCTCTCATTGACTTTTTTACACAACTGCTTTCCACTCTTGATAGATTCATTCTCGGGCCACAACTTCCACAAGCTGTTGCCAAAAAAGAAAGGTCATTTCGCTGCGATCCCCAGCACGCACAATTCCGCGCACCGTTTAAAGGGTGCGCGGAATGGGCGGGCGGGCACAACAACAGATTGGGAGAGAAATCATTGAATCATTTGAAATGGGCACAGTCAACAATATGTCTTTACCTTCATTATCACCGACAAAAACAGAGGTCGCATCCCTGACACCAGAGATGACTAGATTACTGATACCCCGTTGTGATGCTAGTGCTTTTTAAACTTTTTAAATTTATACAGTAAAACCTCGTTATAACAAAGTTGAAGGAGCGGTTGTAATTATTTCGTTATAACCATTAGTTTGTTATAGCCAATGTCCATTCCCTCCCACTATTAGCAAGCAAGGGGAATTATGATTGCTTTGTTATATCCATTAGTTTGTTATATCCCGTTTTGTTATAACGAGGTTTTACTGTAGTACACTTCCCTTTGGGACTGTAAACAACAATATTTCTGCACCTTCATTATCACCGACAATGACAGAGGTTGAATTCCCAACACCAGAGATAACTAGATTACTGACACCTCGTCGTGACGACAGCACTTTTTAAACAATCTTCTCCTTTCTTTCGTCGAGAACGTTGAAACCTTTGGGGGGCGGTTTTATATTTTGTGCCATTCTATGTTGTTGCTCAATGAAAGAGGTCCTGTTTCTGTCCCAGTCCTGAATGCTTTATCCTTTCAAGTATTCATATTAACTTCGACCCTGCAACTTTTTCAATTTTTACAAGCTTTAAGTGAAGGTATCAAAGGAGGCAATGCACACAACTGAATTATTTTAAAATATTTATAGGAAGCTCCTCTCTAGGCTTTACATGGACATACAAATTATAAATATCACCTAAGCAGGTCGCTGATAGCAACCTGCCAAAGTTGATAAAATATCAGCCTGAAAAGTGTGTTTGCACTAAAAAAAAAAGTAAAACGCCTAGAAAAATTTAATTACATTAAGACCTTTTTTGTAGTGTCTGCAGAGTTATAAACAAAAATAGGAACAATGTCAGTCAAACGTGCGACCTTCGCAGTCGGGAAAAACGCTCATTTCCACCGTGGCCGCTTCTGCGCTCCACAACTTGAGAACAAAAAATTATCCGAACCCGCGGATTTCACCATTCTTCAAGGTAGAAAATTCCCTACAACATAGGTACAATCTTTCGTCACAAATAAGAATTCAACTCTTTTTGCCGGCACAATTTGAGATGAAATCCCCCATCTGTATTCTGGAATACTTTTTTGCCATTTTTGCAGAAGTATCTCAAGATATCCTGTTACATAACAGAAGTAACTCAACAGTATCCGAATTTTGGCCTTAAAATGCTCTGCACCTCGGTTGTTGTATTCCGGAATACTTTTTGGAGTACTATACTTTTCCCCAGACTTGGACTTCAGACATACTTGCCAGGAGACGTCTGTCATTTGGGCTAGTCCCTACCTAGAGAGCAAACACTTGACTGGGCCAAGGTTCCACCACTTCAGCAGAGCACACCTTCACCTCAGAGACTTCCCATCCCCACAGAAGCGTACATCAGGCCCGGCAAAGGAAGCAGCATTCAAGGCGTCAAAAGCTCAAACATGCACACCACCAACTGCGAAATTCAAAATTCCTAATACAAAGCTCCGTGTTCCGAGACCTGTACGCATCCTAAGGCAGTGCAGCGGCAGTTCACTTACCCGCTTCATCTGTTCCGGCGTGACGATGACACTTGCGTCGAGAGTTCTGAGCAGTTTGCACATCAATTCCATGGCCATGTCACCCATGTCTTCAATCACCATGACCACCGCCTGCAGACAATCTCTCCTTCATGGTATGCCCTACTGCCAGTCATGGCGCACTGTGCATTCACGAGGGCGCCCATCAAACCAGTCTGGTATCGTGGCCGCGAGGCGGCTATGCAGTTAGGTACTTTGCCTCAGACACTATCACATGGTCACGTCGCCGCAGAGTCGATTGGGATCTCGAATTCGGCTCTTGACGTGCCGCTTTCTCTTCTAGCCACTGGATGGCGCTGCAGGCGCCCAGGGTGGGCAAGGAGAAACCTCCTCACCCATCCATTGATATAGTCGGGGGGACCGGGGGGCAAAAAACTCTTAGGACTTTGGACGGCGCCGAAAACAGGCAAGTGTGTGCGACCGGATCTAAGGTAATCGCGGGACACGAGGCCGGGGGCCCTCTTTGTATTTAACTCTGACTTTACGGGTGAAGGTGAATATTAGTGTGATGTCGCGTGTCTTTCTATGTTAGATTGAGTGTTTCTGAGAGTTGCGTTTTATGTACCAATAAAGGGGGAGCGGAATCCCGCTCCCGTGAAAGAACCCGGCTGGGCTTGTGTTGTTGACGGACAAAAGTGGGAAATGGTGAATCGCCGGCGGTACACGATTTCCTACACAGTCTATCGTGGCGCCTGCCAGACAAGATTGCTATCTAGTTGTCATAAGAGAGTGTACAGTGCTAATCACACTTGTCTATAACGCGCGAGCGTGCGGCTTTCTCCGGGGAGCGCTAGACTGGTGGCATTCGCGGAAACTAAGCTAGTCACGTGGCGCAACATGGATCGGCCCGCTCGAGGGGTGTCCTACCCACTCTATCAGCTGGCGGCGAACGCGGAAGGATGCTCGCACACTTTTTACAAACATCATTGCTCGATCAATAAACAAACTAAAGCATGAAGGCGTATCAACGATGTCGTCATCAAAAAAACAAAAATATATCATAAAGCACTTTACTTTTATTGCTTGTCTAGCTGGTATGCACAAAAAAAAGTATTTCAATTGTCTGGATTCAACACGAGTGCGCATAGTATTGAGAGAATCCTACCGGACAAAAGCACTAATCGCCGACAATGACACCACGAGTGCCGAAAGATGTCCGAACAAGGATAGTCGGAATGAGTGAAGCGGGGTTGTCCCAGCTGATAGAGTGGGCAGGACACCCCTCGAGCGGGCCATTCCATGTTGTGCCACTTGACTAACTTAGTTTCTGCGAAGGCCACCAGTCTAGCGCACCCAGGAGCAAGCCGCACGCTAGCGCGTTATAGACAAGTGTGATTAGCACTGTACAAAACAATACCCATTGGGAAGTGCAGAAGCAGTGTTAGCGGCTGCATTTGGATACTACTTCACTCCTAAAGTACTTTTTGACATGTGTGAAAATAAGTCGCAATTACGTGGCAACAAGAAGGAAAAATTAAATAGAGTACATAAAATGCTTCAGAAGATAAAAACAGCGCAAAAAATGACGGACCGGTTGAAGGAAGACACGGATAGAACGCTCACTCGCAACTAAATTTTATTGAACGCAACGGTGCAATATATACAAGCACAGTCGAGAACATAAAGGAAGAGGGTCAGCCTAAAAACGTAGAACAAAGTACCGCCTCTGAAAAGCCATACTGGGGGCATGCACTAAAGCCAAGCGAATCAAGAGGGTAGAAAGTTAATCTCTCTTCTTGACAAGGCAATCAAAGGACTGCTGACATACAGCACCTAATCTTTCCATTTCTAATGCCTCAAGAATCTCACGTGTCAGCTGGTCCCGGTGACGTTTTACAATCTCACAAAGCCACATATCGTGCCCTATAACAAAGGGCATGAGATGATAAGACTGAGGACAAATTTGGACAAGCTGCAATGCAACAAAAAGCCCCGAAATAAGCCTGCATTAGAGGGGGGGCCTGCACCGCCAAAATGCAACGTGGGCCTCTAGTTTCTACGCACCCCATTGACGTGTCGCCACTTACCTCATAGACCAGTTCGTGGTGGAAGTGGGGCACTTCGAGATCTTGCAGGCACCGGATGGCCTCGTTCACGTCCCCCGAGCACAAATACTCCTTGAGCAACATTTGAATCTGTATAATGAAAACCGGGAACCGATTTCACAAGAGAGAGAGAGAGACAATATCGCATTTGGTGCCACTGAAACCAGTGCCGACTCAGTCAGAGCACAATAAGACGGCCGGTGGGGCCACGCGATTCCTGCAGAGTCCCTGTATGCATACTTTTTCGTGTAAAGAGAGTGCACGGAGATGCATTCCATTGTATGCCTGTAACTTGGAGCATGTTCTCTTTCAGATACCACACGTGGCTTGTTTGCGGCACTCTACATAAAAGCGGCACATCCATTGCAATTGGCAATGCTGGATCTGCAAGTACTAAACTTTCATTCGAATTTCACCAGGAACTAAAATTAAGGCCCGCTTCGGACGGGGCAACTTTCCCGGCCATTTTGGTGTTGCTGGCGAGTTGTTCCCCGGCTTTCTTTAGATCCCGGCACTGCAACAAAAATTGCCTGGATTGCATCTCGCTCGAAATGGACAGGCAACTCGGACGACTCCGAGATGTTTGAGGCGGCAGCAGCAAATCAGGGATGCAAAATGTTCACGTGATACGCCTATGGCGTTGATGATGACAACTAAAGACGCAGTTTTTGTATGGAATGTACGGTTTTATGGGGATACACCGTTTCAGAAAGATTAGTTAGTATATTCAATGCCATTTAAAGATATAAAACATGTTTATAGCGCGTAACTTTATGTCCAAAAAGTGAGAGAAAATTCCAATTTAATGATGATGATGGCAAATAGGTAGTAGCAATTCGGTTGCAGCATCTGCACGCGAGGGGCCCATGTCGCTGGTGTTGCAACGTCGAGTCGATGGGAGAAATTGCCCTATCTGAAGTGGGCCTAAGGCCTCGAAGAGATTCATATTCATCAGATCCAAGGCAGAACCCAATCAGTGGTGCGTGCAAAAGCCGAGACTGTGATACAAAACCCACCGCACCCGGCGACACGCACCTTCTTGACGAGATACTTGACGGGACGCATCCCGCCTCCCATTCCCCACACGTTGTCGAGTCGAACCAGTCCGTGCTTCATGCTCAGGAGCGTGCTGGCATGCTGCAGGGTTTGCCTGTTCGGGACGAGAGTGCGGCCAAGCTGAGCAGGGGGTCCCTGCACTTTCCCACCGGAAGGCTTACCTGGCTAGCGTGCAGTCCGTCTCTTCGAAGTTCAACTGCACATACTTGGGAGGCAGGCAGTCGTCCGCCACCGCACGTGCCAGGAAATTTCCCAGGACCTGTTCAAAATTCCTGGCGTCACATTTCTTGGCTGGGCACTCCAATGCCCTCCACCCGAGAGACAGGCACGCATTCCCCCATGTCCTTTGGTTGTTTAACTGGCACATCTGATATCTGAACAGTGTCTTCAGCCTCGCTCCAACCGAGACAACATGGCCTATTCTTGAAAACAGTCTCTGTTCCGAGTAGCGTGCGGAGGAGACGTTCGACCCTAAATGAGCTCAAACGAAGGCCCATTTCGTATCAATGCACACAGGCAGTTTTCGTACTCCAATACCTCACTCATTTAAGAAACAAACCGAACGCTTTTAAGTGCCAGTGGCTATCGTGTGGAAGCCTCAAAAAAAGGCTAAAGCGGGTTGGCTACAGGTATACTGCCTTTATTGTTGGATGATTTCTGGTCGCAACGACTCATGACATATCCTCAAAATGAAATCAAGCAACCAGAGCAAATAAAATCAATGAGGGACATGTAAAACGATTCTTGGTCGACTCGATACAAAAGTGCAAACAAACTACAGAATGTCTCAAGCGCTCCAAGTACAACAAAAAAAAAAAGAAGTATAAATAAGCCAACGAATGGCGTGCAATTAGACTTCTCACAGAAGTGTCTTTAGGTGGTACATTAATCATACTCAAATTTTATAAGCATCGGTTTTAGGAAAAATTTCAGCCTGAAAGAACAATTTTTTTCTTCTGTGCACAGGAAGATAAACGAACAAAACCGTCCGGTTCACGATTCTTCTCACAGACGCTACCGCACATGCTTGGACGTGCCAAATCTGCTTCCAAGTGTTCATCTCAAAGAAGCTTTCACGTTTTCGCAACATGTGGGGCCATCTGTGAGGAGCGGTGTCAACCAGAAATGTTTTTGAAGTTTTCCTCCTCTCCATAAAGAGGTATTTCTTTTTTCTGTATTTTTTGTCTTGGCCTAAAATGTTTTTCTGAAACCTGAACTCATAAAATTTGAGCATGATATATGCACCACATAAGGACACCTTTGTGAAAAGTTTCATTGCACTCTATCTACTGCTTTATTTATACATATTTTTCCCGTCCAAATAGCGCTCGAGAGAATTCCGTGTTCTCGAGTGACCGGACATCAAACGGGTTCCGCTTTTGTGGCCGAGGTCCCGCTATGCCGCCAGCATGCCTGTGGGACGATGTTTCGTCCCGCTTTGGCTCCCCGAAACCCCAAAGTAGCCAAAAGACTTGGGTAAACCAAAGGAGGCATCAGCAGAAAAGGTGCTTTCTCCGACCAACGAACCACATATGGACGGCAGAGGGGACGAGCCGCAAAAGACCACACTTAAAGCAATGCTAATGAAGGTTCATTGACTCATAACATGCGAACGGCACTATAAAATAAACATAGTAGCAAACGAAAATAAAGGAATGTGGGATTTGTTAGCTGCATTAAAATTTTTCAAGTCTCGCAACACAATGCCCTTGCTACGCCTCACGCTTTGGGGCCCCAGGAACAGGGTCGCATTACGACATGGCTCCACGTGCTACAATTGTTTACGTAGCACAGACAAAACAAACCTCCTGCCAGAGCACTCCTTTCGGACTGTGGGCGCAAGCGGAGCGCAACGCACCGTGGTGGCGTCCGGGGTGTCGAGCACCAGGTCGGGGAGGCTCTTGAAGAGCAGCTGGAAACCCGTCTCAAAGTCGGACTCCGCCAGGATGCGCCCGTACATGTCCGAGAGCAGCACCGAGGTCATCTCCCGGTGGGACGGCTTGCGCTCCATGGCCAACGAGACGGCCAGGCACACCAGGTGGGGCCGGATCTGGCTCAGGTTGTGCTCCTCCAGGGACAGCTGGCCCCCAGGGAGAACCCCACCAAACGCTGCTCTCCAGTTCCCAGCTATTTGTATCGCCGGATGCTACAGTAATCTAGAGCAGAATCTCCAAACCTTCTGGCTAAGGGGCCGGATCGGAGATGTGTCGCTGTCTCGAGGGCCGAAAAAAATAAATAGGCATATTTAAATGAGGAAAATCTAAATAAATAATCCTAGCTAAGCATGTAAATACAAAAATGAAAGTTAGAGGATAAAAAAAGGAATTTAAGGTAGATGAATATATTAACTTTTTTTTTTCGAAAATCACTACTTCCCTAATTATGACGTAACACATTGATTGGGACCCAGAAAACACGCCAGGCATAAATCGGGCATAAATCAAAGTGTAAAGGAACTTGGCATATTCACAAAGGACGGAAGACTAGGAGAACAATAGAACTAATGCTGACAATATACGAGGGGATGCAAGAAAATTTTAGCATACCCAGATATGGAGCGGAGAATTAATGTCCAATGATTAATACGAGAGGACACGCCTCACGATGGCAGTTTGCTCTAGTTTTTTCTGGTATCTTCGTGTATGCGATCGGACCACAGTGTGGCGCAGGTTTTTTATGCGCGCTTATTTTTGCATCGGTAGCAGCGGGCTTGCTGGAAGCGGGCTTGCTGGAAGCGGGCTGCGGGCTGTGCTTCAATGGAAGGACTGCGGCAAGCCACAGGCCGGTCGGAAGACCTCAGCACCTTGATCTAAGGACCCTCACATTCCGGCAGCTCCAGGCCGGCAAGGCATGGATGTGGACGTCGGTAATCCCAGTGGGTAGTCCCGACCTGCCCATAGCGTTGGCGACGCCTTAATATACCCGAAGCAGCAGCAAAACGTCACCTGCAAGGTCTGTGTCTCGTTCTTTTCTAGCTTACTTAGCAAAATACCGGCACCACAGTCACGTATAAAGATAAAGGAGGCTGACAAGACACAAACTTCAACTAACCGCGGCAAAAAGGAGTGCGCCTAACCTATCATCTGCTTTCTTTTTCCGCTCTTCCGTCGCTCCCTTTCTCTCGTTTGCCACGTCCTGCACCCTTCTTTAACACCCCTGTATATCGCAGCCCACGCTTTTGCCACCAGTCCCATCACTGGTCAAGAATTACTATAATCAGTCACTTCCTAGGCCTCTTGTTACTTACTTCTCAAGGTTTTTATTAGCAGCCTTTACTTCAGATGTGTAAAGCAACTGAAGTAAAGACTTTTTTTTCATACATAATTAGAACAAGTGCTAAATTTGCAGAACCAAAGACGAAAGGTCCTAAAAATCGCTTGGACTAGTACTGTTACCAGAACAGCAATGCTGAACCCTGCAGTAATGCAAAAAGTTACTTTTTGTGCCCGGAAGTTCAGCAATCAAATCTAATAGGTTTTGAACGAGTGACTTTAACCAATTACCGGTTGAGCGATGTGTACGAGGCCGATTCACAGTGCCTCGCGTGGCTATCGCCGCCGGCCCTCCTACAGCAGCAATGGCCTACAGTGCCACGTCGACACATAATATCATACAACTGCCATCAAGCTGTCTCAGACCGCTGTTTGATCGAGATAGCCACAGTGTATTGTTGCTAAACTCGGAGAATCAGTACCACTCAACACAGAGTCAAGTTCCATTCACAACTCCAATCTCGTGAGTTTAATTACATTTCCTCCGTCTCACAAATCAGCTCCTAAGTCATGTTTCCAATGCACCCTTAGCACATTGGCCATGCATCAGCCATGACCTTCATGGCTAACAAAGCCATGGCAGACGTTAGCTCCAACACCAGAATGATGACCACATGGCAAACTTTGTGAGGTTCAACACTAGAATGATGGGCTTTAGAGAGCCCATTTTTCAGGCTGCTCGATCAGGATGACGAGGTTTATAAGCCGCATTCGCAGTATGAGCTGCAAAGAGGTGCGGGAAGCGTTGATTGTCTGCAAACGTCTCTGCCTTCCAGCCTGGTTCTTTTCTGGCCACGCAAAAACGCAGCGCATGCGTACTTGCGACCACTCTCTGCAGGAGGCGTCCGCCATTGCATTGTAAATGCTCCCCATGGTTTGAGATGGATACCCTCTTCAATCTAAAGGCCCCCCTCTACCACCGGCACCACATAGTATGTGCTCTTTGAAACAGACGGCCAGTGCTGCAAAAAAGCGCACTTCCCGACTGTGATCGCACCCTCGTGTGTCGCGATGCTTGCTCCGTGGTGCAAGCGTTACAGAGTGACCACCACTTGCCTGCGACTGCTAACTGGGCCCGCTGCAGTCCATCCTCTACAGCAGCCTTCCTGCCCTTTCTGTAACAAAACCCGGTCGACTGGTAGCAGCCTCCACTCACCACCACCTCGTTGGTGTCGCCGTGCTCAAAGTACTCGAGCAAAAGTGGGTAGACTGTGTTCTCAAACTCGTCCTCCGTGAGCTCCGGGACAATCGACTCGAACTCGCAGTTCTCCTGCGAGAAAAGCAAGTGTTGGGCGCGTTTCGAAGGGGACAACGGAGACATCTTGGCTGAAACCAGCCCAAGATGTATCAGAACCAACCAGCTCAGCTCAAACCGAGCAGCGCACCTGGTTGTCCGAGTCGTAGTTGGGGTCGCGCGCATCCGCCGCCGAGATGTCGTCGTCCTCCTCGAGCGAAAGCTCACTCCCGGGTTTGCCCCAGGTCCCCTTCCCTCCTGCCCCACCTGCGGTGCACGAAAAGTGCACGGCTCAGCTTCGCCCGGGACACCGTCCATGCACCCTGGCACGATACGTGCGCCGCCGATCGCCAAGCTCGCTTAGCGAGCGCAGTTTTCTGCAGAGCGACTCCAACGCACGAATTCGTGCCAGATCGCTGGCATTCTTCACAAAACCGAAACCAGTCCCACAGCGTTCGCGCGCACAATCGGAGGCGAAGAGGCGTACAACTTTTGTTTACGCAGAAGGATATCCGGGCCCGGTACCCGCCTGCAAACGATCAGTCAAGTCGGCGAGGCTCAGAACCCGGGAGAGCTCTCGGGTAGAGGTGACAAAAGTTGGCAGCGCGCACAGCTAAACAAGAAAAAAGTGGTCGGCAAAGCCACCATATTTATGTTTACATCGGAAAGGAACATAACTGCGGGCGAATTGCGCGTCGTCTTGGCGGCTGCCGGCTACGTGCTATGCGCGCGCTAGCAGTGCCAGCTTGTTGACAGCTTGTCCAAAAGCGGCTGCCTACCTTTTTTCGGTTGCCCCCGTCCGTGACCGTTCCGAGGCCTTCGGCTGTTCTTGCGGTACTGCGGGTGCGTTCTCGGCGCCGTGGGCAGCACGGGACTCACGTCTCCGGACGCTATTAGCTTGGACGGCCTCTTGGCCTTCTTTTTAATTCGTCCGTCGACAAAAGGCCGCTTCGAGTCGCTGTCCATCTCGGCCGAAACGACCGACTCGCCGTCCTCCACCAAAAGCGGAGCCTCATGTTGGGGGACCACTTGGTTGCTGAAAACCTCGGTTCCGTTCGACATGGTACCGCTCTCGTTTGACGATCAACCTCAACGTCTCAGCTACCTTCTCCTAATCTAGCTCGCTCAAATCGACAAAAACTTTGGGCGAAGGAAACTCGCGAAAACGCAAACCGCTGCTCAGAGGCAAATCACAGAACACGAAACACGATCGGACACGAACACCCCGTGCACAAAGCTACGCCGCTGCCGCTACGCCTTCTGAAAACCTGATGCGGCGCCGAGGAGAGCAGAGAGGGAGGCAGAGGCAGCAGAGGTGCAGTGCAGAGCAGCCACAGAGCAGGAGCAGCCGCCAGCAGCTCAACAGCCGGTAGGCGCTGGCGTGCTGGCTGGTGGCGGCAGAAGCCTGGAAGATCGATTCGCCAGGGATGACAAGCATCGGAATTCACTACCGCTGCAAGTTCAGTTCTCCGAAAGTGCGAACAGTATTTCACGCTGCACGCAAAACAGGCCCGTCGAATATGGGTCACATTAGCCGATCCGTTTCGTGTCGCAGCCTGCACCTGCATCTCGTTTTGGGCGCGTTCGGCGCAGATCCCCACGTGGCAGAGCGGGAAGGTAAACATGTTTACAAACATCTTGCACGATTAGAGTACTCGTTGTTAACCGTTTTCAGCAGAAAAGCATAAAACCATGCACTCGCAGCGCAGTTCCTTTACATGAACTGTTTGAATTTCAAGAAAGAACGCGCGTGACGATATTAAAAGCGTGGGCGTTAACTGATTTATGGACGAACGATGATGGGTGGGAGTGTTTTATTAACCCTCATATTTAGAAGCCATAGCCTTTCGGAAAGCAACTTCGAGACTGCTCCTGGTGTGATACTGGTGACCATCGGGCACCGCAGCAACAGTATGGTGCCTGGAGCAACTGGAGCAAGCTCAGTTCCTGCAGAGGCGAGTGGCCCACTGGCCCAGGTGGTGGTCACGAGAACTAGCGGCGCTGCAGTCGGATCTAGCTTCCCTGTCTCGCGCGTCGTCTGCTACCACTGGGAGCTTCCTTTTCTTTTTCCTGTCTTCCTTTTTTTGCTTCCGTGTTTATGATAGTAAAAAATATGATGAAGATGAAGTGTAATACACCACAGAAATCAGAGTCAGTGCATTGTGAGAGTTCTTTCTTAGAGTGTTTGAAATTTGTTTTTGTGTGTGTCTGTTTCCTTGCGCTGTGAAGTGTTAGTGTGAATCAACAACTCGCCCAAGCTTAAGTAGTGCTATTCAAACTTGGTGGGCTAGACAATCCGGAAGCAAGACTCGACTGCAGCGCTGCTAGTTGTCGTGACCGCCACTGAGCCCACGTCGCAGGCAGAGCTGGGAAACAACTTGCTCCAGTAACGTTGGCCTGGAGCGCGTCTCCGACTGGTGCGTTTAGTGTCCTATGCCACTGCCACTGTGTCAAAGTGGTCCTGAAGTGGCAACAAATGACGTCACAGAAACAGGAGTGTCATGCTGTCAGGTGTTGCGATCCTGACGGTCGTAAAAATTCTGGCGAAAAGCGGGAGCGAACGCGAGTGTCGCTGTCGTCCCAACTTCTGGTTACCGAAGCTTCCGTGGATCGCAACAGCAAACGGCCGTCTTCCTCAAGAATTAGAATAATGATTTTACCGTCTGCACCCTTTATAACGGACAAAAACTTCTGCCACCTTCCCTTAAAAAAAAAAAATTGTCAATTCATTTTTGACTAGGCAAGGAAGACTTTTGGGGGACTATTTCTGTAAAAATCACCAGGCCGTAGAAGCTTAGAGGTGATCGCCAAAAAGGGATTGGGCAAACAAAAAATGGAAGACGTTTACGAATCTCTGTAATGCGAAACTAAAGCGCAGCTCTTGAGGAGAAGGGGAGGGTATGCCCCTCCTCCTCCTCCTGCCACTGAATTCGTCCATGGGTGACGTGACACGTCATTTTCCCCGCTAAATTTAGCGGGAAACTGAATTGATGTTGAGGTCACATGACGTCAAGTTCCCCGCTAAATTTAGCGGGGAAACATCCTATAGTGCAACGCACGCAGTTACACCGACAGCGACGCCGCTCAAGCCGGAAACAACCGCCAAAGAGCTGCGCTCTAAAACCTAAAAGCATCATGCCCTGGCGAGGGAGTCCCTTGTCTGCGTCACCTTAACACCAGACCTACTGAAGACAGTGTCGAAAATTTGGGCCGGAGCCACGAGGGTTAAAGTCCTCATTTTTCTCTGTCCCGCTCTCAACCATAATTTTCAGACCCTCTACTATAACACACCTCTCCAGCGAAGTGCAGGGTCCCCAGCACGTCTGTCGCCTCTTCGAGCAGGGCAGCGCTAAGCTCCTTACATTTAAGGATCAGATGTTCAATTGTTTCCCTCTTTTCTTTATAAATTGTGCCCATTGTATCTAGATAATCAAATTTGTTCCCAAAGCAGCCAGTGTTGCCGAGTGTGCAGCGTGCATCCTGGTGCAAAATCTTAGTGAAGAGTCAACACTTCCTTGCTGAAAACGTCAGTCCCGGAAAGATGCCCCAGCGGCCACTGCCAAGAGACTTCCATGAGGCCTGCACTGCTGTTCTTTCTGCAAGGCTGCTTAGTGGACTCTTTGCTGAGTCGCTTGGCTGCATGTTTGCTCAAACATTGGCCGAAGAGGCCTACAGCTCTCCCAACTTGAGCCACAAACTTCAAAGTTTACTTTCGTGGGCCAACAGGAAATTTTGTTCTGCCACAACTTGCCTACACGTCTATGTTGTGCCACTTTCTCCTTATTGTAGTCAGTGGAAGAGGGTCGGATCTCCATCCTGTGCACAAATTCATCAGAAAACCCACTGTTATTCTCCATGTCACTAGTTGTGTGCAGTGCAGGCAAAGGCAACGCCAGGCAAAGAGAGAGAGGGAGAGCACCAAGAACGTTAAAGAGGAGAGGTTTCTGTTCTGCTCCCCAGCCTTCCTATACTCTGTTTCACCTTATGATGTACCCCAGGAAAGGCTACAAGCACAAGCTCCTTGCTCTGGGGCACATCTCGGCGGCACAAGCTCTCACGCATCAAGGGCAGCTGCCAATGCTATGAGCTCGCTCTTCTAACCTTCGCTGCGGTACAGCATAAGGTGAAACGGAGTATAGTGCTTCCTCTTTCTCCCCCCACCTGGCATTCCCTTCGCCTGTACTGCATGCAATTAGGGGCACGGAGTATAGTTAGCTGTGCCAAACACCAGGAGTGGGATCCAGCTCATTTTAAAAGACAATAAGGATGACTACAACACTGAACATCTCTTGTTAAGAATCAATTTATTTAAATACTTTCCCCTCGTATGTACACAATGCAACTACTAACAAACTGTACAATTTGCAAGCACCACTTCCTGTGAATCCACTTGCAAAATAATTTACACGGGCATTGTTGGCACTAATGTCAATAACAGACCCTCCACTCAAAAAAAGCTTCGCTCCACAAGTAGAATGGACAGTTGCGACAGGTGATGCAAGTACCTCCAGACACCTCTTGCCCAAAGTACACCAAGAGCCATCCTCTGTAGGGACCGGCAGTACTCGTATATACTACCTCTCTTTCTCTGCTAATGCAGTACCATCTTTTTCTTATGCTGGAGAGCACAATGGCACCCTTCCCCCCGGCACTTGGGTGGTTGCCTGTATAAACAACCGTACGAAAAACGTTGAAGTCGCTCTCACGTAGAGCCATTTCACGGTCCAGGCAAAAGATGCATCACCACTTTGAGTTTGTCAAGTTTCGAGTAAAAGAGGGGCTTTTCTTCACACATGAAGCATTGCACATAAAGCGTGACAGAAAAGGAAGGGGACACCATGGCTCTTCTATGCGCTCCTCCAAACGGAGCACTGTGCAGCCACTGCACACTCCCAGCAAATGGTAGCGTGCAGGTTGCCCAAACTGGCAGCGACCAACTCGTGGAAACATTTACAAACACGCTCACACTAATGGCTCTTGCATCGGAGAATGGGAAGACGGGACGCACAATCGCCCCTTGTCGGGCACGTTGCCAGCGCTTCGCAGCAGCTCGAAGTAAATGAGTGGGAGTTGCAGAAGTGCCGAATGGCTAGATGGGGCATCCTTGCCTTCGAAGGAAACTAGAATGGACGAGCAGGCTTTGTCGCTCGCAGAGGGGAGTTGTATGTAAAATGTGCGCGTGCAAGTGCCGAGGAGGCACAGAAGAAATCCCTCCAGGCAAACACAGGTTCCTCCTAGGTATTGCTACCAGGGGGTGCCAACAAGCAACAAAGACCACAGCTCCTTGAGGAGTTTCCTTCTCGAAAATTAGCGGCAATGCACAAGCAATGCTATAGCTGCAGTTGATTTTCATGCTTTGGAGTCAGAAGAATCGCGGTTTAGGGCCAAAGGTGCACTACAATCAAGTTGCAAAACATTTAAAAAAAAAGGATAAAACATGGCCCCGTTAAGTTTTTCACATTTCATGGCAGAAACTGGGCTTCGGGCTTATTAACCCGACGTTCCGGCGTGCTCATGTCAGACTGCACGACGGTCGTTTCGTAACACTCAAATCCACAAACACTCCACAATCCTTAAAGGGATACTGAACCGAAACCTAAAATATACACCTCTCGCATTCGGAAATAAGTTAAACACAATCACTTCTATCTGCTAGTGACGATCGCTTGCTTGTGTTTCGAATGAATGGCTATATTTTTGGTTCCAAAGAACTGCTTCCAGCGAGCGCTCAAAGATCGACCGTCCGAGAGTGCGATGCACCCGGGGGATGCGACAACAAGTGGCCCAGCGCAGGCAAAGCTTCTCGGGGGCTGGTGTGGCCACGAGTCCCGCCACTTGGTGTTGTCAACACGTCGCGACCTTGGCTGCCCCTCCCCGCTCCCTGCAGGAGTTGAATAGGCAAGTAGAAAAGTGCGCACACAGCTCACCGCCTTATTTTGCGGATCGGCGCTGCTTAAGCTTAGGGAAACGTAACGACAAAAAAAAACCTGGTATCTCCGTGGTGTGGCCGGAAAGTGGTCGACATTTAGACAATGAAACAGGTCCTACAATTTCGTCGCAGTATCCCTTTAAAGCCCGACGCACAAAAATTCCTTCCCGGCACAAGCTTCCCCTTTTTTCGTGTTCTCCTCACCCTTTTACGTCCTTTTCGCACGCCAAGCACGCTGTAAGTTGTGACCCTTCCAAGTTCTATGTTAGTCTACTCTAATCTACCCCCGATCCCCAAGTTTTAAGTTTATACTATGTTCAGCCCGAGGCCGACAATGCGGTGGCAGCTACATCCTTGCCGGCCCAATCAACCGTTTCCCCTTCGTCGCTTGACCCCGCTCTCTGGGAGTGGGGTCCACGCGTAATCGCGTGGACCCCACTCTTTTGCCACGCGTAATCGCGTGGCAAAAGATAGGCGTAGGACTAGTCCGACCAACACCTAACTGTTACCGTGTCATTGGCTTAGGGTTGAGCGGAGAATAGGGTGCTTTTCGAGTCACAGGGTCAAAGGGAAGGGGTAGCGTCAGGGGGGGGTCAGTGAAGAAAAAAAAAAGTGGCTTCTGCATTTCTAGGCGGGGGATTGCCAACCGGCCCCTGGACAAATGTTTTCTAATCCTGAACAACAAAGTAAAAAAGAAGTTTGATTTTTTTTTTTTTCCTATCTTTCTCGTTGCCAGAAAAATTGCGAGGGTTGGCAAAGGAGAGCTTCCTCCTTTCCGCTTGCTGGTCGGCCTTTAAGACAAAGGCATTGACACGGTATTCCTCTCCCTTTTGTTCGCAACTTTACGAGTGCCTCTTTGCTGAAATGCCACTTCTGTCGCCTACGCCACGCTCCCGAAGACTCGTGGCTTTAGTGGTCGGTAAGGCAGGTTCCAACGTGAAAAGCGCGGCTAGACCTGACTTTCTGGAGGTTTCCGACGTTCCTGACGGGCAATGGTGGCATTCCCCCGCACACAGCCGTTCTTCAGAACTGTGTAGCAGTCGCATGCTCGCATACTTTGCGACGCCAATGTTGTAGCCTCTCTTAAGGTCACTGGATCCTCGGAAAGTAGCGCCCTTGCCTTCCCTGCCCGTTAAATGGACCGGAACAGATTCTAACATACGGACGATCAAAAACTCTCAAGCGATTCGCTGATCGGTTTCTCCTGCATGTCAATAGCTATTTCGGAGTAGTCCTGGACCGGTCAAGCCAAGCTACGAAGCGTCGTCATACTGAAAGCTTTCTGCACCTATAAAAGCCTCTTTAGTATTGTGTATGCAATCAACTCATCAATCATGCTAATCTCCACAGATTTCTTCCATATTTCGAGACAGGAAAATTATTTCTCAATGCCGCTGAGCTCGCATGTGGTGACGGTTACGAAGATGTGCACTTGTTTCGCCAGTGTGCGACTTACAAAATCTCTGTACACAAAAAAGGTCTTTATAAAACAACCTGTCGCCAGGAATTCGGATCAGCTCGCAAAGAATGGAGAGGTCCAAGAAAAACTGCTCGTTCCATAGTCCGAAATGCGACCGCAAGGGGAACTTGGCGCTACTCTTCCGTGATCCAGTGACTTTAGTCTCTCATACCCCTCGCCCTCCACCGTCCCCTCAGACGAAGCTGATGCTGCAGTCGTGACTCGACGCCCTGGTCTTGTCCACGAGCTTGGCCGGGCGCTGCGGCTCCCCGACGAGGCAGAGGTCGTCGTCATCCGAGGGGTAGCCCCCCAGGGGCCGCGAGGGGGGCCGGGGGGGCGGGCCCCGCTGCTTGGCCTTGGGAGGCAGCGGCGGGGGCGACGCGCACGGGTCGGGGCCATCTGCGAGGAACAAACGCCGCTGTACAGGGCGCTGGTTGCGAGCCTTATCGAGGACCCCCCCCCACCGCAAGCAGTCTTCATTCTCTTCTCTCCCGCGCCAAAAAAAGCCAGTCGAGGATTGCGCCAGATTCCACGCTCCCTTCCAGGCATGGAGTTAATGTAGTAATCTTGAGCGAGAGGTCCCACGCATTCCGGCTGCTTCGTAACGGCAAGGCATAGACTTGGACATTGGTGGCTGCAATAGGCCGATATTGCTGGTGACACCTTAATATATGCAAAGAAGCAACAAAGTATCACCTGTAAGGTTTGCATCCTGCTTGTTTCTAGCTTTCTTTGCAAAAAAAAACGGCATCGCGCATTGTAGGTATATAAAAAAAATAAAGTCGACTACCGCAACATATTGCGTAGGCACCCACTTGGTTCAAGCGCCCACTATTAACATCTCCCAAACTTGGGAATTCTGCAAATTATATGTTAAGCTCCTGTGTCTAACCCAGTTTTCAGTGAGAGTGGGGTAGGTGCTCTCCCGGCATTTTACGGTAGCACTCCAACTTCCAATCGTTACGGCAAAATGAGCACGCCTAACGTAGCCGCTTGGGCGAGTTGGTTGCTCATATTAACACACACTACAAATGTATACCCCCCACACCATACACTCACTCCTTACACATGAAAAAGGTAGCACGCCTAACCTATTCGCTGCATTGTTTCTCCGCTTTTCTGACGCTCTCTTTCTCGTTCTTACCCTCGGGACCCCCGACGTCGGCGCTTCAGATTTCATGCATTCTGCTCCCGTCCCTGCCTCCAGGGTCAATTGCGGTGACAGCATACAGAGCATTTCTATTCGGGTAGAAGCCGAGAGAGAGGAGGGGACAAGAATGCACGGGGTCGTCAGAATGCCGAGCTCTGGTTCGAATGAATAGCGAGTAGACCTAAATTTAGCTGCCTTTGTCTCCACTGCGCTCATTGAATGCATTCAAATGCGAGAGCCAAACACTTGACGAGCCGTTCCGCAGTTTATAGCATTCAACTAGTGGAGACAAAAGGCAGCTAGCTAGCTTTAGGTCTACCCACTAATCATTTCAACCAGAGCTCGGTGCTCCGACGTCCTTGCGCGCTCTTGACTCCTCCTCTCCCTCAGTTTCTCGGAGCTTCTATAACAAACAACTCCTGTGAAAACACCCAGAAATAGGATGGGTCATTTCCTACGCGTTTAATGCGTCATTACGACCGCTACAACGAATTTTCGTCTAAGGGAATAGAAGAAGCGGCTCCGTGAGGCATAAACGACCGCCATTACAAACATTCTGGGTAAAAGGTGACAGCGTAAATTGCCACATTCGAGCGACGATGCGCGTGGAGAACGAGGTGCGGCAACTGACAACGACCGCGGCGTCCACATCACGAGGGTATGATCGCCTTAACTTAAAAAACCCTAGCCTAAGCTTGACACGCATGGCTCGGGTACGCGGACGCAACAACGGGACCGACGGCGAGGAGGAAGAGCAGCCCACCGTCTCGGGGTTTGGGGCCGGCGTCCTTCCGAGCCGCGCGCTCTGCCAGGGGGCTCTTCTCCAGAGACGACGGGGCTCCGCGGCAGGGCAGCAGCACGCCGCGCCCTTCGGCACGTACCTCCACCTGGGAAAAGCAACCAGGCAGCAGGCTCAACCACGCGGGACGTCGCGTGTGCCATGCACCGTTCGGCATCGCTGGAGCAAGGACACCAACCGTGCACGAAACAGCGCGACTTTCCTCCTCGTCTCCCCTTGTCTCGTTTTCGGGAGGTTCGGAACTGACCACGGAAGCCTTGCGGAGGGTTTACGAATGGCTGTGTCCGGGACCTATCTTGTGAGTACGGCTGGGAATACGGGTCCGAAAATCGGGACACTTCCATGGACAATGTATGCTTCTGTGAGTACGCTTAAAGTGTTTTTATCAGAGGTCAAATATTTAGTCCGCGTTATTACCACCCAAACGCACGTCCTATTCTCTCATGTTGAAAGAAGTGATCGGGAATACCTCGAGTGTCAGTTGATTCATTTACAAAGAAATCCGCATCGCCGTAAGGGATTATTGCGTGGGCTGTGCCTCTTCTTGGTTAACAGATTCTTCAAACCAAAAAATGATCTCCTCGCTTCTACGGAGACGATGGGCAAAAACCCGAGTGCTCCTCTTGCATCCAAGTCATAAGCGCCGCTTGGAGTTCTTAGGGAAGATAGCCATGCCAGGTCAGGGTTCTCTTCAAGCGACTTACCAAGTTTGCGTTTCGTGGTGTAACTGTCGTAGGTGTAACTGGTATAGGTGTAACTGCCACATTTCACAAAGCTGTGCCCATGGGTTCTTAAGTTAGATTTCTTTCAATATGGTTCACTTGCTTCCTTTATCTCAGGCCTGGAGAAATAACAAAACATAGTGTGAATGTGAAATTTATTATAAGCATTCTTAGATAGGCACCCCAGGGCATGACAGAGCCCTTTTTGTTATTTCCCCTCAGAAATTTGTTTTTTATGCTACGTTGATTTTTATGTTGCTGGTCATATCCTCATTCCTCAAATTTATTTTCAGTATTATAAATTTTTATCAGAACTTTCTAAAAAAGGAAGCTTGTCATGCCCCCACAAAGTTCTTTAGGAAAAGAATGGAAGAAAAACTGCATGCAAATTCATTAAACAGTTCCCAAGATGCCGCTGGGATAAGCACCAATGCCAGCGGAACAATCCATCTTGAGAAAATGGCAGTTCAAACTTGCACACACATTTTTAGCATTTAGCCCGTTTCACGCGGCGCAAGTCTTGCGATTTTCATTCTCGTGCGGCAGAGAACTCGTGGACACAGTACACATGCACAGAAGTCACCGTCCATGGCTTTTATTAATCATTGCAACTGAAAATCACGAACATCGCAAGCAGGATTGTGCCACGTGAAATGGCTTTACCCGCGGAGTAGCTGCAAGTATCATTGCATGCTTTCTTTTTGTTCCGCTGTTGTCTTTACTTAGTTTCGACGGCCGATGGCATATATGAAAGGACCCCAATCTGAAGTAGTGGCGCGATGAGCATCAAGTTCCTGCCACGCAGAGGCGACCCGCCAGTGCTGCTTCCGATGGTCGCCATGCTAAAAAGCTTGCATCGACAGCTTCCAAGTGTCGAACACGTGCACCATCTCCTAATTCATTCCCCGCACCTCTTGCAGCCACGAAACGCGCAGGCAAAGTATGCGAAACTACTAAGACAAAGGACTGCAAACGATCGTAAAGATGGCGAAAAACAAAGTGGAGTTGACAAAGCACTGGAACACGCAGATGACGCGAGGCAGCGTGGTAGCCACGACAACGGAAGGAGAATAATCGTTGCGGCCAATAGTAGCAGGGTGTCTAGCAACCGGGAAACCGGGAATTATAAGGGAAATTTTAATTACCGGGAAAAATCAGGGATACTGTCAAAAAGCGAGCCCAGTCAGGGAAAATGAGCCGGAAACGCCACTGAGTGTCCAAAGCAAGGACTTGAGGACTTGTGAGCAGAAAAATAGGCACAAAAATTCTGCTTAGAGAGGAGCCGGCGGGCTCTGCTCACCCAATGTAGAGCGTGCTACCCGATGCAAAGGGAACAGCCGACAAATCCAGTCCAAGCTTTGGACTGGATTTGTCGGATTTACAACTTGAGCACAGGCATGAAATGCTCCAAATAAGAAATCCGGGCGATGTTCGAAAACACAAATGCTTAGAAAGCACCACTGTAGTCGAAGTAAACAAACACAACGACACGTAGTGCATCTTTACGATTCCAAGGTGTTACTTTTTTTGTTAGTGAGACGAAATGCGAGGTTTTATTCACCATCACACCTGCAATAAGATTCACTTATACCGATCCTTTGTATTATGCGTCGAGAATGTTGGCAGTTGGGAGGACAAAATTAGCGTAACGTCTACGGACTATAACTTGGAAGTTCATACTCTATAGGGGATTTTAAATGGAACAGGCATGGAGCATATATGACACAATAAGGTCTGTTGTGTCAACTTCACATCCACCGAAGTTGAGCTGCCGTTTAACCTGGAAGTTGAAATTCGCCTTTTATTTGAATTTATGACAGAAAGCGCCACTTGCCGGTGCAGTGTGTGTCTACAGATGCCCATGCTGGCTAAAGATGCAGCCTCAAGGCACCAATTCTTTGTAGAAGTTGAGCCGCACCGACAACCGGTAACCGATAAGTATATCGATTACCGGTTCATTTTTAACAGTTATGGTTTCGGTTTATGCCAAATGAAAACATATTAATGGATGAGATTCCGGTTAGTGAAAAACATTTGTTTCTACACAGTTTTTGGTTTGTGTTACGCTTTGAGACCCGGGTGCGGACAGTGCTTGGTACGACAGATTTTCCAGCAAATAAATCTGCAGCAGCCCAGCTCATGGAATGAAGCTAACTTCCAGCTCACATGGTTCCCTAATAGTTGAAACGTTTGTCCGAAGTTCAGTTAAACTTTCTACTTCACGTCTAGGCCATTGGGCAATGCAAATTTTCTAAGCAGTTGCAAATAAACGACCCCATCTATTGTTTTACAGGCCCCTTATTAAAGTGAATTGATGCACGGGGGTTTGGATGTTGTTTCCTCGTGGCAAAATCTTTAACCCTCTCCCCTTGGTACAAAAACATGAACCTGCAGAAGGAGGTTGGAAGACGTATGGCCGAATTGGTCAACGTAAGATACGAGTCAGAGCACCAACTGCCGAATTTATCAATGCACGGAACGGCCAATTCGTAGGAGAAAAGCGGAATCGCTTTGAATCACAGCATCCTGGCAGCAGTCCGAATGGCGTGCAAAACCCAGTAAAGAGCGTTGCCTCTGGCCACAGACACGTCCATTCGGGGTGTTTGAGGCCCCCCATAGCTGCACTTTCAAAGTTGACAGACGTGGGCTTACCACCGGAGGAAAGAGGATGTCCAGGTCCGTGACCCCCAGCTCGTCGAAATGCACCTTGCCGTCGTGAATGGCGTCCAGAAACCGGCGCACCACGGGCTCTCCGCGGGGCAGGAGTTGGAGCGGCAAGGCACCCCGGTTTTCTGCAATGCCCGAGCGTCGGCATCCCCGGGGAGGTGGGTGGGCCCGATCCGTACCTGAGCCGTTTTCCTTGAACTGCACCAGGACGTGCTGGTTGTCCACGTCGCCCACGGGAGTGCCCGCCGACACGGCCTTCGGGGCGAACCTCTCGATGGGAAACTGCAACAGTGGAATGAGGGGCTCGCAACAAACTCTGTGACAAACGCTGCCCAAGGAGCTTCTCGAAACGATCAACCCTAAAGATGGCCCCACCATTTTTAAAAACGAGCAGTAACGGCGAAATGCACTACGCTAAGCGGCTACGCTAAGCGGCAGTAAAATTAAAGCTACAGCCGCAAATGCTAAAAATACCGAGCTTTTCTTTCTCAACGAGACACGGTCAATGCAAATGCTACATTCTACTGGACTGCAACTCGGTTGGGAGGGGCGCAAGAAATAAGGAATAGCAAGGGACACTACGTACAGCAGGCGACAAGTAGTTGCTGCGTTTGCTCCGAGGCAAAGTGCCAGCCTATGGATCCCGAGCCAAAGGGCTCAAATCCTAGCCAGAGGGATACTGTCCCGGATCAAAATGAGCCTCCAAGCATATGCTCGAGTGTCCTCGGTTGATGTGCCTACAAAGCCCGGTACGAGCCTTTAAGCTGAGCATTTAATGCAATAAAAAAAAGTGGTTCCTCGACTTGCACTTGATGACGTCGCCGAAGTGTCGTGCCATCGCCGGTCACGACCCCAGCGGTGTCACTGCAGCGGTGGTGAATATAGAAGGCGCCCGTTCTGCTGCAGGTCGGTCTCCAGCTCGACAATCCACAGAAGCTTTGGCAGACAGGAGTTTGGACGCCACCACGGCGGTGACACTAGCATCTGCTAGTGCTTTCTCCCAGAACTTCTACGACCGACCACCGGGATCGCAACATCAGACGGCACGACACCCCGGCTTTTGCGACGTCATGCGTTGCCGCTTCGGGACCCCTTTCGAGGCACGTGTGGACACCAAACACACCGGTCCGAGAGGCGTTCCGGACGTCATATCTGGTTTCTTCACGAGTCAAGCACGCCAGGGACGAGCGAGCAAGCACGTACTGTTCTCAGGGTGACGTGGTCCAGCTGCACGCCATACTTGGCCAGCACCGGGCGCAGCACGTCCCCGCACGAGCGCCGTGGCGGGGCCTTCACCCCGAGCAGCTTGCTGTTGGGCAGCACGACGCAGAAGACCACCCGCGGCTCGACCCGTATCTCCTTGCAGCCCACCAGGGAGACGTCCACGCCGGGGCTGAGGGGCTGCAACGGAGGACGGGGGTAAAGACAGGAGCAGAACGCAGTGAACCTCCGGCCCTCGCATCGGGGGTCCCGAGAGAAAGGAAGAGAGCAACAGAAGAATGAAAAAAGAAAGCAGACAATAGGTTGGGCACAATCCTTTTGCCGCGACGACACAATGCCGGATAAGTGCAAGTCAATTGACCTTATTTACTTTTTATACGACGCAATGCCAGTGTTTTCTACCTAGTAAGTACCAAATAAAGCTAGGAAAACAATACGTACAACGTTTCCAGTGACGTTTTTTAGCTCCTTTGCATATAAAAGCGTCGCCGACAATCTGGGCCTGTTGGGACCGCCAAAGTCCGTGTTTACGCTCTACTTTTCCAAATGTGTAGGACCGTTCCCTCTAGACTATTATGTTAACTCTACAGCGCCGGAAAAGGGATTGCGAGGCCCCCACAAACCCGGTCCTGCTGCGTCCTCACCTTGTCCGAGCCGGCCACGAAGACGTCCACTGCCGAGTAGTTGAGGGACCGCTTGTGCAGCAGCGGCGTCAGCGTGGCACCCACTGTTTCGCCCCGGTGCATGCGCACCACCGTTGATGACCCGTCGGGGAGCACGATCCGGCTCAGCACGCACCGGTCCTGGCCACCCGTCAGGGACTGCACCCGACAAGGACGTCCGTCCAGGTCCTCGTCGCTTAACGCCACCCCAATCGATGCGCCCCTTTCACTCCCGTCGACATTTGTACTCTAGCACTCGTAAACGACGACTGGTCTACGCCCCACAACGCTTCAAGTCCCAAGAAGTGGGGACCGAAATATGTGCGAAATAGAAACCCAACCAAAAAGATATACAAAAACCTCAACAATGCCAAAGCCTGAACGTAAGAGGAAGCCTGTAGCCTTCCCTTTAATTTAAGATTACATAATAACTAACAAGGACTAAAGCATTTAGCATTACAGTCAAATCTCGACATAATAAATTTTGTAGGACTACCGATACTCATTCGTTATTCTGAAATATCTAGGGTTGCGCGAATATTCTGATTTTCAAATAGTTCTTTCGAATAATATGGCATTAAATATTCGCTTCAAGATGGACCTCGATATTCATATTTTTCGTATATTCAAATATTTGAGAATCCAATCGTAAGTACAAGTCCTGCTTTTGGCGAGCAAGGTGCATCAAAACAGCTACCTCATCGCCGATTGGACGCTACGGTATTGCCAGTTAGACGGCAGACCGTCCAACTGGCAATAAGTTAAGGCGCAGCCCTACAACGTCTCTTCCCTACTACTTTGCTTGTGATTCAAAGGATCTCAGCACTACAGTGCAGTCCACTCCTAATGATAATGAGAAAAAAACAGAATTCAATCATTATAACCAATTATTTTTGTATCTGGACTAGAAACCTATCGTTATAAGCGATACATCATTATTTATGGTATTGTTGCAAGTGAATTGCACTCTATAGCGGTACATCACGCTGTCTCAGAATCATCTACATGCTCGATGTACGTGTGATAGCCTCTTCACACCTGTCCGGCACGTCCACAGTGAAAAATGGTCAAAGCGTGTTGCAAAATGTACAAAATGAACTACAAAAATTGCGCACATAATCATGTTATGCAATTACGTAGTAAATCTAAGTACTATTTGAGGACACTTTCCAAAGTAAGGCAAGAAATACAATGAAACGCAACAAAAACATGAATACCACTTATTTACCAATGCGCGGAGGGGAGGGTGGAGCGACGAGTTGAAGCAACCTAATCGTGGACGCGTCACGCGATTCCAAACCGGCCAGGTCTGGGCTCGCCCATGCGACAGATGGCAAAAAGGTCTACATGTTGACGCAACACCCCCGTCGATATGAGCACCTTGGGCAGCAAAGATCGCCACTCGAAAATAATTCCGAGGCGAGATGCCTCACTACACATAAACGAAGAAATGCCACGCGGCTACACGGTCTCTTTCATGGACGCAAAACGCGGCGGTTCGGCGTACACCGCACGTCTCTCCATACCTCGCGTGAAGCAGAGCAGAGTAGCCCCAAGCTCGCCTCGCTGCTTGCCAGGGAGGAACGGCTGCCGGCCAGGTCTGGGCTCGCCTTGCGGGCCGTCTTCCTCCTGGACTTGCGGGTCCACGCGGCCCTCTCGCCCAGCCTGCTCCCTACCAGCTTGAGGTCTGGAACACGAGAGGCGTCTGTCAGCCCTTCCACCAGCGCTGCAGTGTTGCTCTGCTTTTTTTCCTCTATGTGCCCTCGCCGGACTCTGGGCCTCGCCGAATTGCGGCCACCTTCGATGACGCGCTAGTTGAGAGAGCCACCAAAGCCCTCCCCGGCAATAGCGAGCGGCTAAGATGCACACCTTTTTCCATAAATGGAATTAAACATTTTAACACTTCGGTTCCCAGCAGCCTGAACGGCTGGTACCTCCGCAGACCCCATTGGACATAGTGCTTGTTGAGTTTGAAACTGCGACTCGAGCGAGCTCGCATTTTTTCGTGCGCAGCACGTCGCAGTTTTCACACCCAACAATGTTTGCCCACCCTCTTCCGTTCAGAGTGAAGCTCTCTGAAGGAAACTTTCGAGAAACTCGTGTAAGACACGCGTATGCTCTTTAACACTTAGTAGTTCTTATAAGCCATCAGCAAGAAAACATTACAGTAAAACTTTCTGGACAGATATTTCGGGATGCCTGGGGAAAACACAACGGTCGACAGCTCTTTCGGGGGGTCTATAGGCGAGACGGGATGAAACCCTCGCACAGTAAATGATCTCCCTCGGACCTTCACCACAGCTGTAGAGAACAGCCATATTTATAAAAAGACAGGCCCTTTATGCAATAATTCTTTCAAAATTAGGGGGCGGCCCTCATAACCAAAAAATGTCGACCCATAGAAATTAGGAAGAGTTTCAAGCCCATGGAGTAAACCCAGATGCTACCCTGCATCAGCCACTGCTGTTAGCACAACGGTGCAAAGCGGTGAAGCTCAACAATCTGAGACCCGTGGGAAACGAAAAGGAGAAAACTGGACAAACCGCGACACCGAGCACTAAAGGTGGCGGCCGCCGAACAAACTGGATGAAAGTGGCGATCGTGAAGTTTGACTCGATTTTGCTGTTTAAACGCGTTCCTAAAGCTACCAACACGTCTTACAGGGTTTACGGAATATACAACCTAAAAAAATGGTTTCCAACAAAATCAACTTTTTCACAGTTTTTCAGCTTACAGTGCTTCGAAACTGCAGTGGAAATTTTAAGGACACTTTTTTGTTGACATTCGCGAAGCCTTCTATACCACCCAAGAGCAATTGAGACAATTTTCTGAGGTAGCACAACCAAGTTAAAGGTGCACTAAAGACGTTTCTGAGATTGTCTGTTCTTGGTGATAACTTATTCTATGGGCTCAAAGCATCCCAGAAATAAAAGAATTATGCTCGAGCAACGTCTATTTCCATATTCAAAATGTAAAAGATATTCATGCCACGCCCCTTTTTGAGCGGAAAAATCTGGAGCACAAAATCCAGCGGAGGCAGCAGCGGTGCCTCCGCAGCCCGCACCTCCGCTTGCGATTGGCTGACAAGCGCCCTTTCGTTACGCCGCCGGTGCCTCCGCTGTATACTGCGCTCGGAAAGCAACCCGGCATGACCATCCATCACATTTTCAGTATGGAAATAGACGTCGCACGAGCATAATTTTCTTATTTCTGGGAGGCCAAGATCCCGTAGAAGGAGTTACCACTAAGAACAGACGATCTCAGAAACGTCTTCAGTGCACTTTAAGGACTTTTGTCGTAGCGGGAAAGCGACCGCAATGCCAGGAGGCGGCCTCACTCTTGTGCCAGGGCAGGAAGGAACGCCGTCGCTTGTCCTCCTTGCAGCTGGGCGCCTGTCCCCCCTGCAGCTCGGGCAGCACGGGCTGGCCCTGCACCTCGCGCATCATGCACTGCTTCAGCAGGTCGGACTTGAGGAAGCGCTGGTAGCAGTCGAACTTCATCAGGCTCAGGATCTGCTTCTGGGCGGTCACAAAGAGGTCCGGGGCTGCCTCCTCCAGGCCCTCGCGCACCTCCTGCTGCACCCGGCCGTCCACATTCACGGGCTCTGGTGCTCCCGGGGCCAGGTGCTTCTGGTAGATGTCCTGGGCGGCCATCTTGCGCTGCGCCCCATTGCGCATCTCGGGATTACACGCTGGGATTACCTGCCCGTTACATACAGCGCTCGCTTTGCACTGCGTCAGTGTCGTCACGCCGCGAGAAACCTTCTTTTGATTACGCTCACGATGCGATGCAAGCTCGGCATCGAGTTCGACTGGAATGAAGACTAATGGTAGTTGTAAAGATGAGCATTTTTTTCCATCATTCTTTTGTAATGCCAGCTCTGATAGCTTTCAACCTAGTAGCAAGCCCCAGGATACATGCTACGTGCGGGTGTCACTGTCTATGGCAGGGGTTCTCAAACTTTTTGGTCTCGCGGAACCCCAGCAAGCCTCAAAAACTGCCGCGGAGCCCCCCCTCCCCCCCCCCTCCCCTATTTGCTGACTGAGATACAACAGATGCACAATTGTAGGCAATTTTGCTTGTGTTGCTTCCCATATATGCCCACCATATGAATCACAATGTCAGTATAAAGTGAGATGAAGATGCTTTGCATGGTCCTGCCATGCAGCCTGCGGCATGCGGGGGTTACAATATGGGTAATCGCGGAATCCATGAGACCAGCTCGTGGAACCCCTGTGTTCCCCGGAACCCAGTTTGAGGACCCCTGGTCTATGGCATTAAATTGAACATCAAATACTTCTTTAGGGCAAAATAGATTTGGATTCACATTTGGAGTATGTGCTGACGTTTACAATTCCCATGTGGTAGCAGTGAGTGGTGGTAGTGAGTGGTGGTAAGTGTGGGGTCTGAATTAGGGAGTGAGAGCATTCTTGACTGGTGGTTAAATGTGGCGCCAGAGCTTGCGCGTAATCAACCAATGAGACCTTTTTAACCCGTTTGCTAGTTCAAGGTCGGGCTACAATTTAGTGAGAACGTCTCACCAACATAAAAATAGCAAGACAGGTCTCAAGGCCTCCTATGTGTTTGTCCTTAATACTCCTTCACCCACTGGCTCATGTCAGCTTGTGCATGGCAGCAAAACAGCCCGAGATTTGCAAATGAAGCGCGGGCTGCCAATGGCTTCCAATGTGAAACAGCAGACGACCACAATAGCAACCAGTGTCTGATCTCATCTCGCCGTGGCGCTCGGTTCTTAGCAGACGATTAACTTTTTTTGGTCTAGCAGCAGGCAACATACAGTGTTTGCTTGTTTTATTTGCCTCTCTGAATCATGCTTCGTAGCAGAATAACTGCATTTTTCACTCTCGTTAGCAGACGGACCGTTTCGGAATGCTGCCTTCGCTCGCTCCACGAGAAGCAAATGAAATCTCGCTTTAACTCTTGCGGTGACCAGAATTGGACCCCTGGTCTGCTCAACAAGCAGACAACTGCTTTTTCCGCACACAGCAAAAGAAGCAACTTGTCGAGTTCCCAGACCGACTAACCTTGGGCCGAAATGCCCCCAACTGTTCCGGGGTCTCCCTTGTCTTCCCCGGTGGACGATGAACGCTTAGTACAGTATAGACCACTTACAACGTAACCGCTTATAGTGCAGGACCGTGTATAACGCGGCTTTTTTAAACCACCGGTTCGCCTCCCATAGAACTCCATGTAATTACATACCGCTTAAAATGCAGGCGTGCAAAGGGAAATACCGGTTATAGTGTGGTTTCTGGAACAATTCGCCAACCGTGCCGACCGACCAGCGCAGCGAGCACGCTTCCCCGTGCGACGCTAGATAACGGCGCGAGCCGCAAGCGGCACTCGCGGGGCAAGGAGGTTGCTCGAAGAAGCGGAGAGAAGCGAAGAGAGAGGTTTCAGTTGCCATAGCGACGGAGGGACGCACGCACGTGTCGTTCACGTGCGTGCGTCCCTCCGCTGCATTGGAAAGAACTGCAACGACAGACCAATCGCAGGACGAGGAGAAGTGTTCGCGCACGTTGCATGCCAGTTGTAATCGTTGACGTAGACGGCGTGGTGGAAGCTCATCGTTCCGCGTAAAAGCGCTATCCTTGACTGTGAATTTTCATTGTGTGTCGCTATGATAACCCAGCACGTACTAGAAGAGAAAAGATCCACCTACTCGTGCGGCGATGTCGTGGCGGCACTCTCAAGACAGCAGAATTGCCCGTTTCGTCTTGTTTGTTTAATTCGACTACAGTGGTGCTTTCTAAGCATTTGTGTTTTCGAACATTGCCCGAACATCGCCCGGATTTCTTATTTGGAGCATTTCATGCCTGTGCTCAAGTTGAAGGTATTACTAGCGCGTACCGTATAAAGGATGCGAATTTTCACGCGTTTTCATCACAAGAGAAAAGTGATAAGGGTTAGCAATCCCGAACGCTCGCAACGTCCGTCCGCAACCCGCGACGCCGTTAAAAGGCTGCGCCAGGCAAAAGTCGCTCATTTCTTTCAAAATGTGTGACACACTCGAGAGAGAAGTGTACTAGTCTGGTGAAATAAAGACTTTCCTCAAACTAAGCTTTATTGTTCATCTAACATAAAATAAATTCTTTTACAAAGGTAAGTTGTCTCATGGCATGTATTTTGGCCTGAAAAATTGATGTTTTGGTTATAACGCGGTACCGCTTATACAGGGGTGGAACTCATGAAATGCACTTTGGAGCAGCCACGGGAGCAGCTGAAACAGCCGTTTTAGAGCAGGTTGGGAGCAGCTAAAACTACATTCTGGAGCAGGCTAGGAGCAGCTCAGATCAGTTTGCATCGCACTTCAGCTTGTGTCTTAGACAAGCACTGGAGCAATTTCAATTGTGCTTAGGAGCAGAGATGAACATCAGTGGCTAGGGACCCAGGCAGATGGGATAACAGTGTAATAGATGCGAAAACTTGAAACTTTGTGAGCCTTAATGAGAATCAAAAAGCTAGTACCTGATGTTTCTGAAGATAGCGTCCTTAATACTTTCTTAGTGGCTTTCGGCTGCTCAAAATGCAAACCAGCACTACTTATCGCACAACCCGCACGTGATTGACATAGTAATTATATGTGCGAACCACGTGACGAGCGTAAACAACGGACATGCAGTCGCACGGAGGAGCAGGGCAACAAATTTCGAGTTTATCCTATTGTGCAACTCGATATCGAAGCAGCAGGCTACGATTAACCAAGTTATCGTATTTGAAGCGATAAGCAGGAGCAAGGTTAAAGTACGCCGAGCAGATAAGTAGAGCTGCTGGCCGGCAAGGTTTCGGATCGGACCGCGTTTCAGTTCTATCGAATCACGATTTATCTTGCAAGAATGCGGTTCCAACTCCTAAGGATGAAGTACTAAAAGGAATCTTTTGCTCATATGCTTTCGACTGGATGACGTCCGGATCCCGGGCCGCAGAGCCTCGTGCAATCTGATGCTTAACGACTCGACCTCACCTCGGCCGACTTGCCCTACCGCTTATGGTTGAAGAATAACAATCCAGTCGCAGGTGGTGTAGCGCTTAGAATCCGAGTTTTTTTCGAGCGCTTCCGACTCGGGATAGACAGGGGGAATAAACACAACAAAGGATTACAAGGCCGACCAGGCTAAACGCCCTCATTGTTGCCAATCGAGTCGATAGAAACCGAAACTAAGACGAAATAAAAAGTTTTTTGGCGCACGTTTTGCGATTTGGCGCATAATGGCGCGAGGTATTGGCTGTGGCGCAGTTTCTGCAACATGGCGCAGGATGGCGCAGACACATGCGTCTGGCGCAAAATGGCGCAAATGGCGCCATTTTGCTTATAGCGCTTATAGTGCGGATTTTTGCGACTCCCGCGACATACGTTATATGCGATCCACACTGTATAGCCCCACAAACACCCACCTCATCACAGCTGAGCATCTTCCGGTACTGCTCGCACACCACCCAGAAGAAAATGTTCTCTTGGCTGAACTCCTTCTTGAGAAACTCCTGCATGCAACATCCACATTTGTCAGGTGTGCTTTCACAAGGAACCAAACTTTTTGTTTGGAACACTGGCAAAGCGACCAATTACCATATTTACACGAATGTAGGTCGACCCATTTTTCAATTTTCGAAAATCTAAAGTGAGGGGGTCGACTTAAAATCGAACCAAAGCATTCCACCGCCGACAAAGATGAAAGAATCGCGAAATTAAGAACACCTCAACTTTTTACGAGTTCAGCCGGTTGCACCTGTGGCACTGCGCCATTTTGTGCGCTCAATTTACAAGTTTTATTTTTATTTTTATTTTGCGCGAACGAGTATTTTTGATAGCGATTCGCAAATTAGCCCAAATGCACGGCAGTAAACGGCGCACGGGGCGCACGACGCACCCGACTCCCGGGGGGTGGCGGCACTTGTTGTAAGAGGCACTCCGAAATGGCCGCTGGAATAGCCTCACTAGTAGCGGCGGACGAAGCCGGTCCTGAGCGGCGCTAGCTAGTAACACTTCTAAAAATAAAAATTACACGCACATTCATTTGACCAAGCACAATGAAATGCGATAGCTTTACAGGAACATCGCTAGTAAAATAAATTAGGAAAGGAAATGGTTTGGTGATGAAATGGTCGCAATATGTTGCGCACACATCAAGGACGACGTCGAGGACGACCTCCAGGACGACAGGCATCTAGGACGACATCGAGGATGTCAGGTGCCGGAGGGCAGCAATACACGAATCGCTTTGCACCAAAAAGTCGCCTAAGCAAATCATTGCGCAGTATTGCTACAAGAAGACACAAGATTACTATATTGCCAAGACATTAAAACAGCCTGTCAGCCAGGAAGACGTTACGGCAGGCCGAGCAAAGCTCAGCAAACGGTCGATATTCATTTTATCTTTGCCTTAGTGCATTCTCCCGAATAAGGTGAATTTCCCGTATTTATCTCGACGATCCCATATAACCGTGTCGATTGAGTAATAAATATTATATTTCAAATTCAGCGGTACGATTGGGTGAATCAGCCCCACAAAGTAGCAAAGATACAGTGGTTGTAGTTTCACGGAAGGCATCCGTCTTGCATTCTACGATCCCGGTGGCACTCTTCGCAGTTAAGGCGAGACGCGGGTCTTAAAATGGTAAAAAATCGCGAAATTTGGGGTTTTTCAAAAATCACATGTTTGGATAGAATATAGTCTGAAGTACCTGCCTGCGAAGTTTCAATGTCCTATTCGACGTCTAAGTATAAAAAAAACGATAAATACGATGCCTCCGCGACGCTCAAATCGCGAATCCAACGCAAAAAAATAGTCAAACTGCGCGCCCGCGTCGCTTCACGACCGATCGTCGGATCGCGGCCATCTTGGTCTTGTTGGGGAGCTGGTTCTCTTCCCTACGTCCTCATCCCACTCACTATCGCGACAACCTTGGAGAGCGTCCGCATTCCGCGGGTTTTCACGACCGGAATAACGATTGCTCATTGGCCCGCGCGCGTACGTCACGGGTACGTCGTGCCGCGCGCGCCTGTCATAGGCCAAGACGCGCCCCTTTCCACTTTTGCTCCTTTCCTCCTCTTGGCGCGCGCGCGCCTCCAGCAGCGCAAGGAGAGCGTGGAGAAGCGTCGTCTGCTTCGTTTTGGCCTGTCGCTTTGTTCGTTCCGCGGCTGAGTGCACGTTGTTTCGAAATCGTTTACGTTCGCGCGTTCGCGTCGGACATCGTTGGTTTCTCGCTACGAAGTTGCGGGAGTTTTATTTCGAGCGATCGAGATGCCGGGGGACTCTCGATTGAAAGAGAGTACGCGGCGGACGTTCGGGAGGAAGACGCGACGTGCGTGGAACAAGCGGAAGACATCACCTGCAAGTGCGCCGCTACGATCTGCGCCACTGCCGAACGCATTGGATCTGCCGGGACCATCGGCTAGCCTTCCCGTTGACGATGCTGCGGCCTCAAGCTCTGGTCCGGATGGCTCAAGTTTTTCCGGCACCACTCGCGTCGACTCTACCTACTACTCTACGGCCGAGCAAGCGCAGCGCGCCGAGCGATCGGAGCAAAGCAAGCGCGTTTTATCGGAGAAGTCGGTGACCCAGCGGAAGTTCGATCTGCTTGAAATCAACGGATCATGCCAAACAAGCGATGCCGGGACCCAGTTTGTCATCGTCGACATGAAAGTCCTCAACGACCTCTTCGCGCACGCGAGGTGTGGAAGCTGCGGTGTGGGATCTCTCACGCTCAGCAAGGCCGCGGACAAGGAGTACGGCTTGGCCGTCAAGCTTGTGCTCGTCTGCAGCACTTGCGACTTCCAGAAGAAGCAGTTCTCCTCTCCCAGGGTTGCTGGAACAGCAACCCTGGGAGAGGAGAACTGCTCACTTCAACCCAGGGTTGCTGGAACAGCAACCCTGGGAGAGGAGAACTGCTCATGTTCACTTCAAAGGGGCTGTCACCCCTTTGAAGTGAACATGAGGGCCATGAAGGGGATCCAATCCATTGGCAAAGGAGTGACAGCCTTGGCAGACTTCTGTGCCTCCATGAACATTTCTCATCGGGGCCTGCACCACAAGACGTACCAGGGACACCTGAAAATGCTTGTGCGGGCATGTGAGAATGCAGCAACCGACAGTGAAGCCGCCAGTGTTGCTGTCGTCAAGGGGCTCTACACAGGCTTTATGAACCCCATTGGCAACATCGATGTCATCTTCGACGGATCATGGATGACCCGAGGACGCAGCTCCCACATTGGTGTAGGCTGCATTGTGGAGTTGTACTCTGGCCTCGTCATCGACCATGTTGTGTACTCCAACTTCTGCCTTGGATGTGCCTTGGGACCGGAGCCCGAGGACGATGGCTACAGCGACTGGTACGCAACCCACGACTGCCAGAGGAACATTGACTGCAATGCTGGCCGTATGGAGGTGGAGGCTGCGCTCACAATGTTCCAGAGGTCTCTGACCAAGCATGGTCTCCGCTACACCACCGTCCTTTCGGATGGGGACAGCCGGACATTCCATGCCTTGTCTGAAGCGAAGGTTTACGGCTTCATCAAGATAGAGAAGAAGGACTGCGTGAACCACGTCCACAAGCGGATGGGAACTGCCTTGCGCAACGTTGTTGAGAAGAAGGCACAAGGCGAGTCACTTGGTGGGAGAGGAAAGCTGACACAGGAAAAGATCAAGAAGATCACTAACTATTACGGCTATGCTCTCAGGAGCAACAGCCATGACGTTCCAGGGATGAAGAGGGCGGTGGAAGCCACACTCCTGCACATGACCTCCACAGACGGCGCCCCAGACCACAGCAAGTGCCCCGAGGGAGCGGAGTCCTGGTGCAAGTACAACAGGGCCTTGGCAAACAGTGAGCCTCCGCCGCCGCACAAGAATCCTCTTCCGGATTGTGTTCGGGCTGCACTGGAGCCAGTGTTTGAAAGGCTCAGCAATGAAGACCTGTTGGCACGGTGTAGTGAGGGAAAGACGCAGAATGCCAGTGAGAGCCTGCATTCGGTGATCTGGACGCAGACTTCAAAGAATGCGAATGCCTCCCTGGACAGCGTGAAGAGGGCTGCGGCTGAAGCTGTTGCTGTCTACATCCAGGGAAGGAGAGCGACCAACGAGTCCATTGCTGCAGGCCTGGGCTACGCCACCGGTGACTGCCTTGTCCGCCGAAGCATTGAAAAGGACAGTCTCCGTTTACGTAAAGCAAACGCGGTGCACCAGAGCAGCAGTAGCGTGAAGGAAAGGTTCTCCAAGCGACACCAGGCAGGAGCATCACGAGATTACAGCCCAGGACAGCTGTAATGGCTTTTTCCAGTGCCATGTGGAACAAAGGCCCTTTTCAGGGCCAAACAAAATTACGTTTGGAGCTTGAAACTCTTGCTCGCCTCTCCCGTTGTCCAAAGTTGTCGGCTCATCACTTTAGAAGCAATTTTTAGCCTATATCAGTAATTCTTCACCATTTTTGCAATCTTCTCAAAAACAAATTATTGCAATTTTTAAAATTATTTGTTCAGAATACACTACACTACATCTTGATAACTATTATTGCGTAAGGGTTTTCACATAATTTATTGTAGTCAGCGTCGAAACAGGAAAATGTGATTTTTATCAACATTTCACTCGTTCTTTACTTCTTTCATATTTTTTTCCTAATGTTCCCATAAATGGATTACATCATCTTTTATGTCAAGTTGTTCATGAAGACTTACACTACACCTTGGTGGCAATTATTATTTATCATTGTTCACACAATTTTCTATGTTCAATATCAAAACTTTAACTTTGATTTTCTCATCTTCATGTTTTTTGTAAACGTGCTTAGCCTTACGGGGGTTTTCATGAGGTTTTTATCGTAGCATTTTGAAACTTTTTATACCGTTTTATTCAGAAAGGACTGGACTATGGAGTAAAGCTATTTTTTTGCAGTTTATAATGACAACGAAAATTTTATGATAAATAATGCGACCTCATTAGTGTCATAATTAGCATAATTAGTACATTTTTGTATTATAATGTAATTTTGTGAAAATATAAATAGCTTTATAATGCATGGCAGACCTTTAGCTATGCATCTACATCAATAAAAAAAAATATTTTTGTTCGAAATGGCCTTAACGACCCGTAAGAAATTAACCAAATTAGGCAACACTATTTTTTATAACTTGAAAACTAATTGAGATATTTTGAAACTGATTTCATATTTGAAGTGAGGAAGAAGGAACACATATGCACAGTGATTTTCATTAGTATAGCTGCAAAAATAAAATAGTCCATTTTAGAACCAGTGTCTCGCCTTAATCCAACACAGCCCGACTTCTGGCATGCGGCTCGCATCGCATTATAGTAACCAATAAGTTGCTAAAACAGAACCTCGCGCAAATCCCGTGGACTTAAAATTCTTCTCTCGGAATCTTTGCTGCTGCTTTCGCCGAACAAGGGTAGCCGCTACCCTTGCTCGCAGCCGTTTGCTTTCGCTCGTTAGTTTGAAAACGACACGAATTGGCATGCGAGGCGAGAACGAGGAAAAGAGGAAGAGTTTCACGTCGGTGGACCGGCGTTTTCGACGCACGTATGGCAATCGTTGCTTTTTGCCGACGTCTGCCACTACGCCGCGAAGAAAGGCAATGCCCACCTGATGTGGAGAGTACTGCCGAATCATAACGCGTAAAAAGTGGGCCCAAGGACGAGGACAAAAAGAAGGAGCCTCGAATCCTTCGGGAAACTGTCAAGCTCACCGCAAACACCAGGAGGCCCAAGGGATCGTGCAGGAGCCCTTCGAAGCCCACCAGCCAGCGGCCCACTCGGCCCCGAGGTTGGTCACACGAGCTGCTCGAGTCGCTCGCTTGGTCCAGGCTCTGCACGCTGCTGGACAGCTTTTCGCTGGGAACCTCCCCGTCGGACACCGTGCCCGCCTGCAGCAACCAACGCACGGCTCTTCTGACAACTTGCCCACAAATTGGGCCCGACCTAACCTTTCGCAGTAAAACATACATGCACAGTGAGAGATTGTTTGAACAAACTACCATTCACATGAACAAACTTTTGTAGTACTCCCCAGCAAAACCCCGTCCAATGCATTCAGTCGAGTGAAGCTTAAGCAAACTTTCTCTCGAGGTCCCTCAAAGTCTGTTCAAGTGTATTTCACTTTATCTTAATCCTTGGGATGAAGCAGAAAAATGTAGAGCATGTTCTGAGCTCCTCGCCATCGGGGTCGCCACCAGGGCGACAAAGTTTTTGAGGCGATGCGAGTACACATACTGTACCAAATATAACCGCGCTAACTAGAGCCTATTCGCCAGTGCGGCAATAAAGAAAAACAAAATGCTCCGCTAGCACAGCGGGTCGGACCGCCAAGCAAGAGATCAGTGGCGCGATTCCCGTCACGGGCTGCAACATTTTCTAAAGATCACTATTTGTGTTACCAAAGTTTCATTAAAACGATTTGCGACACTCTTGGAAGCCAGCCCCAAAACACGCGAACACATTCTGCTGAGGCGCTTATTTTGGCACGGCGCCTCGGCCGCCCAAATTGACTAGGCCTGCGAAGAGCCACACAAAACGGCAGTCGACGAGTTGCACTGCTGTGCCCTTTGCCGTGCGGCGTAGGCTCACAGACACTCGCAATCTCGCAGGACTGGGAAGCACCAACCTCTCGAGTGTTGCGCCGACGGCGACTCCGTCGCCGGTGCCTGCGCAGTGAGGAGGACCTGGGCCAATCTTTTCTGCTGCTGCAACTGCTCTCATTCTGAAAGAACCACGAGAAAAAGTGTCACACGCACGCTACTGCCAAGGCAAGCCACCCCAGTTGAGTATAAGAGCTCGGTGGGGCGGGCTCGAGTCATTCGGTAAAATTGTTTCCTAGACTCGTGACAACTGGTGATGACGAGACCGAGAAGACGTCACGCCGATTTTAGAGCCGGAGGCCAAGAATGGAAAGCATAAAGGTTGGAACTCGACGGCGAACGGCGTGAAAGAGGAAAAACGCAGTGCTCCTAGAGCAGGCAATTGACGCGACTTCCACTGCACAGGCTGTCAGTGCCGACACAGATGCACCGCTCAACCCGCAGTTGCCGACCGGGCACACGGGCCAAACCCAACAGAATGGCGCCACGTGGCAGACCGACCAGTTTAGTGCAATGGACGAACAACGAGGAGGCGACTAGGACCACGCTGAACTGGGTCATCGCGAGAACGGAACAAGGTGCACAGTTCAAACGGCCATCGGCCAGGGGGCGGTGGTGGGGGGAGGAGCGTTGAGAGCTTTGGCTGTTTCCACTGCAGGGGCAAGACGGGGAGGCAGAATGCAGGTGACCACAGCAAGGCCATACCGCTTGAAGGACTCAGCACGCGGGCAGAATGGTGGCACGGGCAAGAGACAGGGAGGTGGCGCGGGACTGAAACCTGCACGCCATGGAAGCTCCAGACAGTAACAGCGTTGAACCGCGTTACGTGCCAAACCCGCCGGACAAGAAGGAGGACACGTTCTACGAAACAATCGATGCCATCGGGGGTCCCATCTCGGCTGTGGGCGGGCAGAGTTAGCACGGAGGTGGGCCACAGGGGGCAAAGCGTGAGAATGCCCAACTTGGACTGCCTGTGTAATTCCCAAAACGGCACTTTCCACCGATATTGAAAATATTTAGATTCAGAAAATTAGTTTCTGGAAATGCATTACAGGAGATTGGTTTAATTTGGTCAAGTTCCACATAGTCATCTCATACAAAAGCTTAAGGGAAGACAGTCCCCAGAAGGGTCTCTTTTGAACCTAGGGCTTAAAGGACACATGCAAAGGAAAAAAACATTTTTTTAAACAGCTTAGATGGAAAAAGGATATCATAAAACAATTTTACAACCAAGAAAAAAAATTTTTTTAGAACTATATTTACGGCGCTATACGAATTTGTAGTTGGCACCGGCGGTCGCCGCAGAAAAGTGGCCCTTTGACGGGCCCATATTTGTCACGTGGTGCTTGCGCTCTTTCGGAAGCTTCCTATGGCCTCTAAAAGTAACTTATTCATTTTTGTTTGAAGTACAACAAAAAACTAAGATGAATAAGCAACTTTTAGAGCCCAAAGGAAACTCCTGAAAATGCGCAAGCAGAAGTGATAGACCTGTGCACCGGTCAGACGGCGGCGGCGGCGCCCCGAAGCAGACCAACTTGTGCGGCGGCGGCGACGCAGCGCGGCGGCGCGCGGGCCTACCACGTGACCAGCAGCGGCTTCCGCGAGCGCCAACTACAAATTCGTATAGCGCCGTAAATATAGCTCTAAAAATTTTTTTTCTTCGTTGTAAAATCGTTTTATGGCATCCTTTTTCCATCTAAGCTGTCTAAAAAAAATGTTCTTTTCCTTCGCATGTGTCCTTTAACATTAATAAAATTTACGGTATAAAGAAGTGGCAGATGTGAAGCAGAATGCAATGCAAAGTTTCAACGGTGGGCGAAAATAGTGAAGGAAATTATAGTTGCTTTTATCAGGAACACACTGACATTGTCTAGGCAAACTATTGTTAGAAAACTAATATAATTCCCAAAATTTTTTTCTCTAGATATGCAGCAGAATGGCTGGAGATTGCAACTGTGAAAACAAAATTTCCAAAAAGTAATTTCTTTTATGCTACCATCGCACTGAAATATTGAAAACAAATTTTGCCTTTTATGTCGTCAACAAAATCTTAACATTGCTTGTAAAAGACATCAGCAAAGTAAAAAACAAAGGTATGCCACAGTTACACTGCCCACTAAATTCCAGTTAGGAAAAACAGCTGCATTGCCCTTTAAACTCCAGTTAGTCAAATAGAAAAGAGATTGATTTTATAAGCAAGTGGTCATGATTATGAGGTGCTTCAGTATTTGTGTGTTTTTCTTTTGTAAGTTTGGTAGGCATGTGCAAATAGTGGATTTTTAGTTTGAAGCGAATTCAAAGCAAATACGTAGTGGTTTTGGCCAAATATTTTTTAATCAAATACTGAATAGTTTCTTCAAGCCTTTCACTATTATTACACCATATTTAAGTGAAAACCCACCTGAACCAGCTTCTACTTGTCTATTTGTAAGCTAAGTTAGTTTTAATCTATCTATATTTATGGACTGTGGCCTCAATGTCTGATGCCTTGAGATGGCAAGTAAATAACACATTTGACATGAAATTAAACGTACAGGGATGCCCAGTTATACCTAGTAATTGAGTGGATTTAAAAATCTTGCTATATGCTGACATTCTTTCTTCAATCTCTAATTTAAAAAAAATTAAAAAAATAGTGAAGGATGAATGTGGGTTGTAATGGCATCTCTGCCTAACATATAATCTTGCATAATAGCCACAGTTTAATTTTAAAAATGTTAGTGTGACGTAGATATTAACATTCACAAGGCTTCCATTCCTTTTTAGGTACACCAGGCACGCACGTGCACCATCCCACTTTGAAAATGTGCTCTTTTCCCAAGCACGCAATTGTGATCTGCATACTTCTTTAAGTGTTGATTGGGGCAATTTACCCCGTCGAGCGCGCTTCTCACCGGGCACCGGTGCACCCAGAGAAGCAACATCCACGGAGTTCGCTTCCGCGAGTGTTGCTTTTCCGCAGTGCACCCGTGCTCGGTGGAGGTGCGCCCAACGGGGCTAACCTGCCGCAGCCAAAGCTTAAAAAAATATTAATGTATTGCAGTTCATCTCTAAGCGTATATCGAATGGTGTATTATTCAAAGAATTCAAATATCTATGCAACCCTAGAGTTCGGGTGTTTTTCGCCGTGGTTGCTGCACTGCCTTTTTCCTTCCATCGAAAAATGGTCAGGTGTCAGTTGGTGCTTGTCCCGTCTACTTCTTCTGCTTTGGTCTTGGCGCACTTTACTCGTTCCTGGGGTGGCGGCGGCGGCAGAGGGGGCCACTCACCCTGAGGGGAGTGGAGCCCCCGTCCTGGCCCCTGGTGGACGACTGGCATGGGTCGTCCCACTCCGGGGCCTCCACGGGGTCCGGCACGGCACGCACCCGCAGGCGCTCCGACTCCGCCCGCAGCGCCCCCTCCGGACCCTCCGGGTGTGGTTCCATGTCTACCACCAGGACCCGGTCGCTCCCGTTGCCTGCATCCCGCTCCTTCGGTTGGCTACCCTCGCTGCACACTGCCCCATTCCTCTGGCCGCTTCATCCCGACCGCCCCCTTTTATTTTTTATTGATTGTTTCAATATAGTACATTCAGTGGTCAAAAATGTCATAGCAGAGAATAAAAAAAAAAGTGCAACTGTTAACTGTTTGACAATGCCTCCGAATACAGTGAAAACACAATAGGGCAGAAAGCAACGGCATAAGAAATTAAGAGCAAAGGTAACGTCGACTGGGAGCCAAAACGAGTAAAAAACACGCACACACAGAAAACACAAACACTGCTATCGAACAGTCACAAATACTTATTTCGACAATAAACAAAATCAGATAAATTAAACAAATTAACTATTTCTTCGAATAGCATATTGTATTCACATACTGTTCTTGGAAAATATCAATACTTAAAAGTGTCTATTCTGAAGCTACACATATTCAGCGAAACCCTGCCCACATTTCCGCGCCAGTGCACAGGGCAGGGAAATCCAACGAGCCTACTGCTCAGGAGGAAGTGGCATAGCTAGGAGAGGAGCCTATTGGGTTCTAGCATTTAGCCTTCTCTCCTCCTCGTCCCCCCTCTCCTCTACTTCTCCCCCCCCCCCCTTCTTTGAAATCCAGCTGACCCTATAATATACACACGCAATCCGAATCGCTGACATCGGTGGTTCTGAGAGAAAGAACCAGGAAGAGAGAGACAGAAAAGCGGAAAAAAAAGAAAAAAGAAGACGACAGATTAGCCGTGTTTGTATTGCCTCAAAGAATCAAAGTTGTTTGAGTGATTGTCAACTTCGTTAATTTTTTACAATGTGCAATGCCAGTGTTTTCCTGCAAACTAGGCTAAAATAGAACGACTGTAAAATCCCGTAAGGACGCCCTCCACCCCCCGAGAGATCGCCCATTCCATTTTTCTGGCTTAATATCCGTAATATAAAAATTACGAAATGTGGCCCACGCCCCAATTCCTGCCGGATTTCACGCAATGTCCAACAGGAATCACATCAACGGCGCGATCTGTGGTACTGGTACGATCTGAGCACGCGATATAGGTTGCCACGACACGCGAGTTGAGCTAGGCTAGCTGTTCCAACGTGTGTATGGCATTGTGAAATGTGAATGCGTTGCGTCCGCAATCTGCAATACCCGTTCCCGTGACATGCGAGTTCGTAGCAGGTTCCCACAGCTTTGCCTGCGACATCTGTTCCCGTAACAGGCAAGTTTGCGGCAGGTTTCCACATGTCTATAGACCCTCTTCGAAATATCAAAATGATGCATAGATTTTGTGCAGTGGCCATTAGTTGGTCATGCACTGTGAGCACGCATTAGACACCAGCGCTTCTTCAGCATTCAGAGTGTAGTTGGATTGAAACGCATTCCACATGAGTGCTGCATCAGTGCTCAGTTCAAACTTGGGACCAATCACGGAATTTACGCGGGTAGTGACGAGACCAACTAATGGCGGCTGCACATGATCTATGAGCCATTTCACAATTTCGGAAAGGGAACAGCAGGAAACTTCAATCTGCCGCGTCCACAATCTGTAATACCCGCTCCCGCGAGATGAGAGTTTGTGCCGGGTTCCCAGATGTCTTCTCCTCCATAAAATGCAAATCTGCTGTGTCTGCAATCTGCGGTATCCAGTCCCATGACACAAGAGTTTGTAGCAAATTCCCGCATGTTTATCGCATCGTAAAGCACGAATTTGCGGTGTCCACGATCTGCAGCATCAGTACCCATCTCACATGGTTTGTAGGGGGTGTCCAGTGTTTATCCCTAATCTTTATTCAAGTTGCACCGTCACATCTTTAAAGATAGCCCATCCCATGTTTTTCTCCGTTTACCTTTTCAATTCGGGTGGGCAATTCTTGCGGGATTTTATGGAAGGCACAGACCTTACGGCAATGCTTTCCTGCTTCTTTGCGTCTATTAAGGCGTCGCCAGCAATAATAGCCCATCCGGGACCACCCACTGAGAACACCTATGTCTGCATCTATGCCACGCTGTCCTAAAGCGGCCGGAATGCAAGGGACCTTTCCCTCTCAAATATTATAGAAACTCTACGCCACCTTCATCCCTGAAGCCGATGCCACTGTCGCTGTTGCTGCTGTTGCTGCTGCCGGCCCGGCTGGGCTGGGGCGACGCGTCGGGGCCTCCCTCCGGACGCCGGTAGAGCGCCGCCACCGCCCGGAGGATGGGCTCGGCCGACTCGTGCGGTGGCGCCCCCCGGGGACCGCCCGGCGGCAGGCGAAGGCCCACCATGAGGACGTGGCACGAGAGGGCGCCGTCCGCACCCCGCGTCACCAGCCCCAGGAAGCGGCTGTCGTCGGCGTAGGCGCCACTGAAGGCGATGCGCTCCGCCGGGAAGCGGGCCAGCGCGGCGCCTCGCAGGTCCGCCAGCTCCACGCCGTCCCGGAGCACCGAGAGCAGCGCGAGCGTGTGCACCTTCTGCTCCAGGCGGAGGCGGCGCACGCAGCTGCGGATCGCCTGCAGGCGGGAGCCCGCCACCTCCCGGGGTAGCTCGATGGTGCCCAGGTAGCCCACCACCGTGCGGACCGTCGGGTGGGCGCGGGGCGGCGTGCGGCGGCGCCCCTTCTGTTGCAGGATCAGGTCCAGCAGGGCCTTGTTGCCGTCGCCCTGGCAGGCCTGCACGCCGACGGGCGAGCCATCAGAGCTACGTCCGCTCATCCCCGGTCGAACCTCCGGTCTTATTTTATGTGGGAAATGCCTCGCACAAGAGCGACCAATGAGCCTAGGGATGCAACCATTGTTCGATCGTAGGTACGGGGGACGAAACAATTGTTTCACGAAACTTGGAAACAAAACCGGTCGTGTCACTAAACATATCGCGAAAATGATGCAGCAGCATTTTAAACTCCTGCTACGGTAGAACTTTGCTAGGTTCTCGCATTATACGTCGGAACATCGGTAGTACAGCCCCGTGCTGCGGTAAAAAATACTACAAATTGCAAGTTAAAACATACTTTTATTTATGGCTCGTTGAAATATTAGACGCTGGACAACAACAGCCATCTGCGTTAAGACTTTGTTTCAAACTCTCTTTGTTCACGTTCTGCACATCGAACAGCTTGGCGAAAGAGCCCAGGTTTGCACCTGATCTCGCAACCCTGCCATCTCCTTCCGCACGATAAAGACCGTCTGCTATGGTCAGCGTCACCATGGCAACAAAGCATCTTTTTTATAGAGGAACGCGCAAATGCAACATCCGATGCGAGCAACAGCAGATGCCAGTTTCCAAATGTAGTCTGCTGACGTGAATGCGGCAGCGTTAGCCGAAAGTTGTTGGGGTAAGCTAAACAGTGCACAGGATACGGGAAAGGGGGAGGCAAAAATGGAGAATGCCAAGTATACATCGGCCTTTAAAGGGATACTTCAACGAAATTTGAAATATTCCCGTTGTGTTCAAAAATAGGTTGAATATGATCCACAATATCCGTAAATGACAATCGCACGTTTGTATTTTGAGCCTGGTGGTGGCTGTATTTTTCGTTATAAACGGCCCACTCTGGCAAGCGCTCGGAGAAGGCCCAGCGGAGACCACGTGACATCCAACACAACTGTGACGTAGGTCGTCTCAGGACGAGCAAAGATACGGCGAGGCTGACGTCGAGAGGATGGCCTAGTCATTCCAGCCACCGAAGCGGCTGCTTTTGTACGAATTCGGGTTAATCTTCTGTAATCTTGAAGGGGGACAATAGCAACTTCTCCGACACACAAAAGGCATTCTCGGGAAGAGGGGAGTTCCTCTTTCCCCTCTTCTCTCGTCGTGGCCGGAGGCGAGACACTCACTGTCACTAGCTGTCAAGGTTCCTAGACGGACATTACAAGCGAAACGTTAGCGACAGCCACCAGGTGCTCTTTGCTAATCGTTTAATTCGTATTAAAATTCCTTTTCGTGACTTTTTTTAACAAGATATTGGTATGTTCGATGTGATGCTGCTTCTTTGAACACATATAGACAAAAAAATGAGCGCCGAAATTTCGTTGTAATATCCCTTTAAGGGCAATACAACATTAACTTTGCAGAATTTGCATTTTTAATTTTCACATTGTTCATCTTACCAAAAGGGATAAAGAAACAGCCTCATCCTTTCGAAATATCAGATTTTCGTTGCATAAAGGCAAAGCAAATGGGAAAGTTGCATTTTTTAAAACGAAGTTGGGAGTTTGTAACAAGCCAGTGAAAGTTTCAGCGTATAAAAGTTTAATTCGCCCAGTTCTTGACTTTGAAAGCATAGAATGACTAAGCGCAGGAATTGCTCTTTTCAGACTTTTGGCGGCTCTTTTCCGTAATTCTCGTGATACATAAATGTGCCCTCGAATTGCTTGAGGCTAGACAAAAGGCTGCAAAATTATGTTTTTTTTATTCTTTAAAAAAAAATTTTTGATAATGAATCTGGCTAGACAAAGATCTGTATGTTTTGCCACCTCCTCAGCACTCAGCAAGACTAAACCACTCGTAAAATGTCGGATCGTATGCTGCTAAAAATAACACCTTTAAATGCTTGTTTTTAATGCAAAATCTGTTATGTGGCTAGCACCTAACCATTTCCGGTTAGGCGCCAGTGACGGAGGTCGACAGGCCGACTGCCAGCCGAACGCAGATGCAGCGCTCGTCTCCCCACCGACTGGACACCAGTGTTGTCCGAACCTCTTTCCTCGAGTGCCTTTGTGCTACTCCCGGCGGGGGCAAAACAACACGTGTTCAAGCATATGGTAGTGCTCTGTTCCGATGAACGAGCACTCTCTGAGTTTTTTGCTCAGAGAGTGCTCTTTTGTTGCAACGGGTTGAGGTAGTTTCGTGCATGTGGTTTCCTTTTGCCGCGAGCTGGTTCTGGGGTTTTGCTTGGCAGTGCCGTGCTTCCAATTGTTCCGTTTTTTGCCCGCTCCGTCAACTGCATCTCAGACTCCAACAGGCTCCGAGAAAGTCGCAGGTACAGTGAACTGCAGAAGATGGCCTTAACAACTAGGACGTCCAAGGAACGGTCACGCGCTTCCCTTGCACGACACAGGGCCACTTCACGCCATCCAGTCTTCGCACTCGCATTCTTGGTACCACTGCCTTTGACATGTCAGTACGGCAAAGGGGCAACATCTTTACGAGCAGACGGTCGAGATATGAAATTCACTGCCCTCCGACTGCATGCATGCTCCGAGCATTGACCGTGTCAAATCGACTGTTTGAAATTGGACGTAATCCTCTCCGGCTTAGGTGGTGAAAGACCATTGAGTCTTTCTTAAATAAATAAATAAAATCTCATTTCCCTCACTGCACGGCACTCTACAACCGTCGAAAAAGCGGTCACTCACGCCGGGAGGAAAGAGGCCGCCGGCGTCGCGTGCAGCCAGTCGCGGCACGTGGCGGTGGCGCGGCCGTGCGTGGTGGCCCCGCTCCGGCGCGGCCTCGTCCTCCTCCGACGAGTCCGAGCAGTAGTTCTCGGCAATCTGGAGCTGGAGGAGCTGGACCGAGCTGCCGACGAGGCGCACCACGTCGTCGTGGGCCGCCCGCGACACGTTGCGGCCGTTCACCGCCACTAGGAAGTCGCCCGGCCGTAGGCCCACGCGCTCCGCCGGGCTGCCGGCCACGATGCAGCTCAAGATGCATGGCGCCTGGCCTGAGATGGTGAAGCCGAAGCCCTTCTTGCCCCGCGACAGCTCCACCGTGCGCACCCCGTAGCTGGGGCGTTTCTTGCGCCGCCGCGTCTGATGCATGGCGGCTGCTCAGCAACTCCTGTGAGGAACGAGGCACACTTCAACAGGGGGACTCCCTAAATTGTCCCAGACGGGACGGACGCCTTTGAGCTTTGTCTCATCTGCCATTTTCATTTCTTATTTTTTCCATTCCAGAAAACATTCTTGTCCGCGCCGAGTGAACGAAAGAACAACCAGAAAACGCAAGTTGAGCAATAAGCACTTTTGTTTTATCCACAAATTACTATAGGCTCTAATAGAAAATAGCTTTGCCACATTTTTCGATAGAAGACTAAACACCTGAACCACCCAACACCTGTAACTTCTATGGGAATGTCAAAACCTAGATCGACAGAACTTGTGAGCATGCTCCATCTGTTAGAAGTTTCCATCGGGTAATCTAGCAATTCATTGTAATAGGTGCCTGCGTGCACCTAATCTTGACAAAACAAAAATAGTTGGAAAGCTCAAAAACAAAACAGAAAGAATTGTTTGAGGCCCACTGCATAAGAGTAAAGGGCGAGGATAGCTGCATAAGTGCACCGTCAGTGCACATAAGTGAGAAAGAGTTTGCCTTTTTGTGCCGGGAGCCCGAATTTGTGTACAAATAGTAAGTGTGTTTCAATAAACGTTCAGTTGTAAGTTAGCGCTCCGTCTGGTCTCTTCTTCCTCGTGTCTTCATTTTTTTAGGCGCCGTACAAGTTGAACTTGTACCAACTAGACCACCTATCCATTTTACTAGATCTGAAGATGAACGAAGGAGCATGGCACAGCCGATTGAATGAACAAAGAATAAATAAAATGAGACCCTCAAACTCTATAATGATCAGTGAAACGCCCCATAAATGTTACGGATAAGTGCACAAATAGCAAGTGAAAGAAAAGCCAAACAGGTTTCGCTAGGACAACAAATATGAAGACGTGGAAAGGTACATACGGCCTCTGCTCTCGACGTGACAGCTAGCAACAAAACTGCGGGGACAGTTGAAGCAGTTTGCGAGCTTTTGCCAGAAAGGGAACATCTAGGAGACCACACTCGCAAGCGATGCTAGCAGCAAGGGCCACTGCGGCTGCCGTACCAACTTGGTCACAAGAAGAAAAATATGACGTAAGATCAGTGCCGTTTGCTTTCCTACAGAGAGTCCTGCGCTGTTTTAAATGACTCCGCTTCAAAAAATAGCATCTTCTGTGACGCACGACCAAGAGTGAGCCAGCACAAGTTACAGGATGTAGCAAAAAGGATGACAGATAATGACGAGCCGGCATCCGGGCATCGCGACAGAAAAAGGATATTTGGCAAGGAACGAGAGATCCTGCAATGCGTAACGGAAATTCCGTCCCACTCCTCAGGTGCCTCCACTTTTGTAACACGGTTCTCTCAAATGGCGAAAAGGAACCCAGGCTGACAAGTGACACCAGGAAGGAACAAAGACTCGGCCTTAGCGACTCCCCTCTCCTGTGATGCCACGCAGCCGGCCATTTAGACTGTAAGTACCACACAAACCACTAAGCCACACAAACCACTAAGGAACTATGCACCCACTACTGGTTATTGATCCCAATAACCAGCAGTTACTGGAATCAATGACACGGTGAAATAATACTAGACACATTGCGACTTTACTGGGATTTAACTACAGGACGACACGAACACATTGAGAAAAGTCTTAAAAATATTATATTTCGAAAAAGTTTGACGACACACACAAAAAGCAAACATCACTTCATTGTGGTCAATAAATACTGCCAAAATGATACGCTTATAGTGAGAGAGCTCGCATTTGGAAATGCAACAGACGTCTAGGGCGAAATCTTTGAAATCGAACAAAACCCCGACCTCTTTCAACGCTTTATAATATAAAGAGAAAAAAAAAAAATCATACAGAGGGATTGCTGTCTTTAACTTTGTCACAAAAAAAAAAAAAAGACACAAAGAAACACGACGAATACTTGTTTTCTTTCTGTTCTAGATGACAAGTTTTGTCCTAACTGTTTCCCCATTCCTCCTAATGAAATCGCTAGTCTAGAAAACATCCAGTACGAGTCCCAAAATCCTCCATAAATTCGCGTATTACCCCATCACCCGAAAGACAAGGCCGACACGCGTATCGAAGCGTCGAACACAAGAAAGTTTTGCCAACTCCTTCCAACGATTCCTACCTCGTCAATCCACGGCGAAAAATGCTTTTGACACCGGAGTCGGCGATGTCCCCCGATTCGAAGCGGCCGTCCGACGTATCAACGGGCACAAACGATCATTGCGTTGTCGACACGGCAAGCAGGGGCATAGCCTCCTGCAGGGGATGGGGGGCAACATTCCACACCATCGGGTCACAGAAGTTGAACCGCAGAGCAACCGCAAAAAACACACTGCCTCATTGGATGGGCTTGTAATGAAGGCAGTGAAGACTCGGATATAATCTCACGTTTCATGCAGCGAAGGCGTTGGCGTTAAACCAGTTAAACGCCCCGGTAGAAAAGACAACCGTAACCAAACCTATCTGACCGATCTACAACGAGTAGCGGCCCGTTGGGGAACGCTACAAAATGGTGACCGTTTCGAGTCACGTGGCTCTGATGAGCGCTCGTGATTGGTTTAAAGTTTGTAGTTGCCTCGTTGCGTCACAATAGTGGTTGGCCCCGGTTGGCCCCGTTCTGGAGAACCATGGGCGTCCGCAGCGCCAACTGAATCCCCTGCTGCCCGGAAGCTGTACTAAACTCGACTAGGCGGTGCCACCGAAACCACCGAAACTATGGTGACTATGGTATAGCCACCGTAACTATGGTACATTGGAACCTCCGACTGGTGTGTTTACCGCGTCCGAAAAGGTGGTCCTTCGATTTCCGCCTGGTGATGTCATAATAGTCATATCTTGGCGGCGTCATAGCGGTCATAGCAGCGGCGGTGCTTCAGGTCGCTCTCCAACGTCACAGTGGTAACAGTCCACGGAACCTTTCGCAGCCAGAAACAGAAATTGGGACGCCTAGAGGGAGCCACAGTTGCGTGTTCATCTCCGTAGCGCCGTCTTTCCTGCACGGCATGTTGATCCGGCTCTTCACGTGACTGAATTTTAACTGAATTCGATGAATAGCGGCGCCTTGCGTTCGAGGCGCGCGGCGCGCTCGAAAGCTGGGGTGGCTGGGGAACGTACGCCGGGGAACGTGCAACATCTACTTTTTGCAAGGGACTTGATCCGACTCCTCACGTGAGAAGATCTCGGTGAATAGCGGCGCGGCGGTACGTGGAAAACAGACGCGCAACTCTGGCTCCTGTAGGGGACGCCATGACGACAGCGACACCCGTTCGCTCGTGCTTTTCGCCAGCATTTCTACGATTTCTACGACCAACCCCCAGAATCGCGACACGCAACGGCATGACCCTCCGGCTTGAGTGACGTCAACTGTTACCACTTCGGGACCACTTTTGATGGACGGATAGGACGCTAAACACACCGGACGGAGACGCGCTCCAGAAACCATTACGAAACCAAAACCGAAAACATAGGGCAGCACCAACGCTCGACGGGCAGCATCATGCTGCCGCCTTCTGGCCTTCTGGCCTCAGGGGGGAAAGGGTGAAGGGAAGTGAAAATGACAATGGTTATATCAAATACTTTACTATACTCGGCGACAAATTTTCTTGTTGTTGTTGTTTATTTTGTAATAAAGAAAATAAATATAGTGAAAAGGGAAGGAAACGGAAACTCTTCTAGGCAATGCAGTGGAGTGTACAGGCACGTGTTTTCTATCCAATTTTGAGCGCTGGATAAGGCTGTGCGTGGGCTATCGTCAACTTCCTCTGCATTGCCAAACATTCCACCACTCCACTCCTGGAAATGCTCGAGACGTGCTCGAGACCTGAAGTAGCGCAGAAGGATGGATAAATGAGTCCGGCTGAGCCCTTTGGATCGGGCGGTAGCTTACGCCACCTAGCCATTTTGTTTTACCATTTAAGTTTAGAATATTTAAATGTGAAATCTATATTCACTCCGCACTGCAAAGAAAGTGAGGCTATAAAAAAAACCCTTGTCATCAGTTAATAAGAAAATGCCTAGTTTTCTCTCGCTTTCTGCCACCATTCACTTAATCTTTGCTTGGTAATCTCTACAGTCTTGAAATCCACTCTCCCTTTACTGTCTCTAAAACCCAATGACTTTATTAAATCTATGTTGTCTTCGGTAGGCGTAGGGTGAAGCCCTTTACAGTAGAGTATCAAGTGCTCAGCCGTCACGTTTTCCTCTCCACAAGCAGTGCACACTGTATCCATTTCCTGGTACTTCGCTCTGTATGTTGTGGTTCGCAGAACACCTGTCCTCGCCTCAAACAACAATGAGCTTCCCCTAGAATTGTCATAAATGCTTTCTTTGGCAATAACTGTTTTGTTTAATCTATAGCTTTCCAGAGCTGTCTTTGTCTGCATTCCCTCTAGCCACCGATCTCTTTCTGTGGCCTTAACTTTCTTCTTAACTGAGACTTGCCCTTCCGTATCTCCACTATAGCCTAAAATTTTTCCTCTTAATTTCCTAGTGCGCTGTCTCCACTTTGTGTCTATACTCCTCATGTATAAATAGCTGAACACCTTTCGTGTCCCCATCCATTTGCCTCAATCGCCCATCCCATGTCTCCTTGTACTCCCTGGTTTGGCGTTTTGCAATGTGCCCCCAAAGCCAGCCTACCTGCCCCGCGCTGTTTTATTTCTAGTCTTGCATGCACTTCGGATTTCATGCATAGCACTGCGTTTCCAAAAGTCAAGCCTAGAGCGAGTAGCGCAATCCTTTGAACTCCGTGTGTTGCCGACAACATGGCCGACAGAGCGGCTCGGCGCGAGTCACGTGGTACTCAGGGTTCCAGGAGGCGGCCCGCCCTATGGGAGAATACGTGGAGATCGATACAACACGGCTGATTAAAAAATGAACGGCGAGTTCACACTTTTCAAAACTAGTCTACCGTGAAGTTAGTAAAGCACTAAACACTTTATCAAAGTTTTAATCATATCGGATGCGTGTGCAAATTTTGACAAGGCAATTTCCAAGGCAATGGCGTTTGAAGCAGACGATTTTTGCACGCAGCGGAGATGGGCTTTTCGGGTTGGCCGGAGCGGGTCACGTGAATGGTGTGACGTCGCCGTGTCGTCTGCTGCATGATGCCGTTCAAGCAATTTTTAAAAAAAATTCAGGTCCTTGCGGGGCACAAAACTTAGCGCAAATTATTCTAAAATATTCCATTATTATGTCAAAAACGATTGCCATTGCGTACATTCCCACAATACTGAAGAAACAACGATTTTCTCACGTTCTCCATGCATTTCTGACCGCAGTTGGAACTAGAGCACTATATAGCTCCTACGGAGCAGAGTAGCGCAATCCTTTGAACCTCGTGTTTTGCCGACAACATGGCCGACAGAGCGGCTCGGCGCGAGTCACGTGGTACTCAGGGTTCCAGGAGGTGGCCCGCCCTATGGGAGAATACATGGAGATCGACATAACACGGCTGATTAAAAAACTAACGGCGAGTTCACATTTTTCAAAACTAGCCTGTCGTGAAGTTAGTAAAGCGCTAAACACTTTATCAAAGTTTTAATAATATCGGATGCGTGTGCAAATTTTGAGAAGGCGATTTCCGAGGCAATGGCGTTTGAAGCAGACGATTTTTGCTCGCAGCGGAGATGGGCTTTTCGGGTTGGCCGGAGCGGGTCACGTGAATGGTGTGACGTCGCCGTGTCGTCTGCTGCATGATGCCGCTCAGGCAATTTTTTAAAAAAAGTTACGTCCTTGTATGGCACAAAACTTATCGCATATTATTCTAAAATGTTTCATTATTATGTCAAAAAGGATTTCCATTCCGCACATCCCCACAAAACTGAAGAAACAACGATTTTCTCACGTTCCCCATGCATTTCTGACCGCAGTTGGAACCTCCGGACGTTCGCCGCTAGTCGCCGAGAGGCGGCGTTCTAGATTGCGCTGCGCTACTCTGCTCCGAAGGAGTCAAGCCCAGGCACCATGACCCCCTTTCCAAATCTCTCTCACCCCCTCATACCTGTTGTAATTCCAAAGTGCTCTATTTTTCATTACAGTTGCATTTCTGTTGCCCTTGCCTATTATATATTTTTCATGCTCACTGATAGCGAGTTCGTTTCACACGCACTGGCGTGTTCGAGTTCTCTCCCAGAATGCATCGCACTCACAGAGTGTTGCACGGAAAACTGGACTAAAACGAACTCGCCAAATGCACCGAGTGCAGAATAGGGAGGCTGTAGTGAGGGTGGGCGCAACTCAAAACCTGGAGAGCGTTTGCAATTTAATGGCGGCGCCTGAGGGAGAGGATTCGAGAAAGGATATGCGCCAGTGTTGCCTGCACGAGAGCAGGCGCCCGCTCTGTTGCAACTCTGTTGCTCCATGCGCCTTTCCTCCTCTCGCCTCCCATTGCAAGCAACGAGCGCCTTGGCGCAGCCTCTCTCGCTTCCTTCTCGCTCCGAGAATTGCAAACGTCGAGCAGCGAAAGCAAAGTTGCCAGACAAGCAGCAACGTCCAAGATGGCGGAATTTACCATTTTTCGCGTTAAAAAAATACTTAACCTATCGCAACAAAACTGGTGGCTATGGAAACGTAATCATTTATACCTTGTGTAAATTATTCAAGCACCTTAATGGGCTTTTATGACCCGAGTTAGGAAAGAAAATGACCCTTTGCCCCATAGACTCCCAGCAAAATTTAGCAATTAAATGGCGTCCATGTCCCGTGATCGCCGATCTAGCAGTTGCACCCACCCTCACTTGAGCCTCCCTAGTGCAGAAGACTGATGTTGCCGCCATCTATGTTGTAGAAAAGGTACCGACTTCAAACCGAAACTAGCGCCTTTCTGTTCGGAGTGATGCGTGGGAATGCGAGAATGCAGTCGGCTACCAACGTTTATCTACAAACGTTGGTCGCTGCAACCTGTAGTTTATAGTTGCGATGACTTCAAGCAGCTCGGCTGCCGTAGAGATAGTTACAGACGGCGTAAATTTCCGCACCCAGTTGTGTACAAAGCAGCTGGTTGCGGTCTTTCAATTCTTATAACCGTTTACAATGAAGAAAACTGATGATGCTGTCCGAGCAGAAGCTTGATCCGTTTGAGCATGGTATTATGCGTGAACCACTGAAAGGGTACGGCTTAAAACTAGCCTGTTGGAATATCCAGCAAAACTGGGACTTTCGATTTGGATCGTCATTATAGGTGGATCAGGTGAGCCTTGGTGAGGGCGTCAAGAACGAGAGCTTTCTCGAACAAAATACGACGGGGCAAGTTAGCTGACGTAGGTAAATGTTAAACATGATGTTGCCCAATCCTCAGGTAAAGTTACCATCTTTAGCTTTCTCTGATGCTTATTGGGCAGTCAGAGGTTTCTGCTGGGGGAGTTTTGCCGACAAATGTTAAATTTTTCACCCGCACACGGATGATGATAGACATCTCGGGGGCCGCTGTTGCGTTTGTTCTGAGCATTTCTTTACACACTGGTATATTTCAGCGTTTGTACGGCAACAGAGCGATTTAAAACCTGCAAATAAATCACGGGTTGTCAACTGCTTCCTTCGGGAAATAGCAGACGCCCATAATTCAAGCTCGCGTTTGATTTCGTGGCTCGCGGGGCGCGATTTCTATCAGAAAATCTACTTTTTGTTCCGTTCGGTTCCGCGACACACCGTAGCAGACGAACCCTCGTCGTCTGCTCCCGCTCCTCGCCGGCCCCGCCGGAGCGAGGCATGACGGGATTGCATTTTGGCGCACTCCCAATTTTCTCGGTGCAGCGAGTGCATGCACGCGTGGGGTATCAGCGCTGAAACGAACTCGGAGAGTGCAACCACTCATGGAGTGCCGGCCGAAACGAACCCGTTCCACGCTGCGAGTGGGCACGCGTGGGCACGAGTGCCGTGAAACGAACTCGCTATGAGATATTGTGCACCATCACATTCCAGAAGTAGTGCAATCTAGAACGCCATCTTTCGGCGACTATAGCGGCGAACACCCGGAGGTTTCAACTCCGGTCAGAAATGCATGGGAAACGTGAGAAAATCGTTGTTTCTTCAACATTGTGGAGATATACAGAGCGACAATAGCTTTTTGACATAATAAAGGAACATTTTAGAATAATTTGCGCTGAGTTGCGTGCCAAGTGAGGACATCACGCAGCAGACGACGCGGCGACGTCACAGCGTCCATGTGACCCGCTCCGGCCAACCCAACGGCCAACCCGAAAAGCCCATCTCCGCTGCGTGCAAAATCGTCTGCTTCAAACGATATTGCCTTGGAAATTCCCTTCTCAAAATTTGCAGAAGCATCCGATATTATTAAAACTTTGATAAAGTGTTTAGTGCTTTACTAACTTCACGACAGACTAGTTTTGAAAAGTGTGAACTCGCCGTTTATTTTTTAACCAGCCGTGTTGCGTCGGGCGGGCCGCCTCCTGGAACCCTGAGTGCCACGTGACTCGCGTCGAGCTCAAGGAGGATATCCTCCTTGGTCGAGCTCTGTTGGCTCGAGCAACAACCTCGTTGAGCTCGAGCTACAGGACACTGTACTCGAGCTCAACGAGCTCAACTGTCGGCCATGTTGTCGGCAAAACACGCGGATCAAAGGATCAGCTTGGGCCAATAATCGACCGGAAGTCCAAAAGCGAAAGCAGGATGTCACGTGACAATCGGCGGCGCAACTCGTTGACGCGGCGGCATATTCAAACAATGGCGCCACTTTTCCTATGATAGGGGCTTCGCTTGTTGATGTTCACCTAGGAATACCATATGTATATAATTTTTTTTTATAAAATAATTTTAGTAGTTTGCGTCACTCATCTTGTTTGTGCAGATTAGGTATACGTTACGGCGGCTGCTACCGCAGTTGCAATACCGCAATACCGTTCCATCTCCACGTGGTCACCTGGTTGACTTCTGCACGCCCTGCACGTGGTGGCCAGGTCGGGCCAGGTGTCGGTCGTGTTGGGGGATCTCTGTGGTGGGGGATACGCCCGAGTGATACCGGAAATTGGTCGATTCGGGTAGCCAGAGACGATAAACAAAATCGCCGAGTAATCTTAAGTCCGAGGAGTGTTCAGGCGTGCCAAAACAGCACATTTTAACGCCCAAACAACACCGACGATGACTCCGCCCGTCAAACTCGTGCACATCCGTTTTCGGACCATCGCGGTAGTGACCGCGCTTTTGCCGCTTTCATCGTTCCTAACGTGCATCTTCTATTCGCTCATATTTCAATTCAAGCAAGTCACGGCGACGCACTGCCAGGTACGTCTGTTGAAGCGTGTGTCTTCTTTCCGAAATTAACCGACTGCGAAGACCGACATGTAAACAACAGTCGAAGTCGTTCCCGAAATCGCTGGAATAACGCACTTTATACGTAATCATATAGTAATTGCAATGTATGCTAGCGGTTCAGCTGGCGCCAGGGCCTACGCGGCTTCCTGTGTTCCTATTGCAAATTGAAGTAGACAGCATACTTTAGCGTCGCTTCTGTGCACTCCTATGTGAAATTGCACACGTGCATTTTGTCTCTTCACTGGAGAAATACAGGAATCAAAAGTTAAGTAATTGTAGCGAATAGTATGTAACTTTATTACCATTATCACTGTAATTGTGGCTTTATTCCGTGAGCAGCCTTCGAAGAGGCGGGTCACGTGGTGCTGCACGTGGAGCTTACGCGGCGGCGGGCTATTTTGATTGAGGGTTACGGTATACAGATTGGACCTATGAGAGCCTAACTAGGCTTTTTGCTCTAGAACTAGACAAAGTTCAGAGTAAACGAAAGGGGAAGCAAGGACATAGACCAAAAAGCTGGTGGGACAAAGAAGTGAAGCAAGCAATACAAAAACGTCAGGAAGCCTTTAGAGAACACAGGTATTCCAAGCGTAGTGGGGAGTCCGAAACGGAAGTAAAAAGAAAATGGCACAATTTTATAACATGTCGCCGAGAGGCATCCAGTTTGATCAATGCGAAAATTCAGAGAAAGGGTGAGGAATGGATGAGTAATGTAAGTAAGAAAGATAGAAACGCTGCCAAGAAGTTTTGGGAGCACTTGAACTCACTCGGTGAAACAACGCAAGCTAGACAGAGGTTCGTACTCTCGCATCAGGGAGATCAATTAGAGGGAGATGATGCGATACAATATATAGGAGCAGTGATGGAGGAGAAATTTCGGGAACGGGTACATGTGGAAGATAGGAGAAAAGAAGGAAGTAGCAGTCCAGTTTGTGACATCGCGGATTTTGGACAAAGAGAATGGGAAAAGGCGGAACGAAGAGTCCCTAGTGGCACGTCGACAGGCACAGATGGTATCCCTATCAAGCTGGTGAAGAATTTGGGTCCTAAATCTAAGGCAAAACTAAGGGAGGTAGTGAGTACCATGATAACAAAAGGAAATATTCCAGGTGAATGGAGGCTTAGTAGGATGAGTATGAAATATAAAGGAAAGGGAGATAAGTCTGATATTAGGAATTATCGTCCTATAACCGTGACACCGGTTATTTACAGGTTGGTAATGCAGATTATAAAGAACAGACTGGAGGAATGGGTAGATTGCGAGGGCATACTGGGCGAGTTACAGAACGGGTTTCGGAAACAAAGAAGGTTGAAGGACACTTTATTTTCTCTAACGCAGTGTATAGAAATAGCGCAAAAAGAAAACAGACAGCTCTGGCTGGCATTTCTGGATATCAAGGGTGCCTATGACAATGTGAACCAAAGAAACCTGTGGGACACAATGGAGAACTTAAACCTAGATGAAGGACTAACAGCACTATTAAGGAACATTTACAAAGATAACAAGGTGATTATAACATGGGAAGGAAAGGCGACAGGGAAAATAGAGATAAGACGAGGCCTTAGGCAGGGGTGCCCGTTATCGCCTTTGCTGTTTATGTTGTATCTGAGAGGGTTGGAGGATAGACTAGAGAAGAGTGGGCTTGGATTCAACCTTTCTTACAGTAAGCTAGGCTAAAAAATTCAGCAATCCTTACCGGGATTGATGTATGCGCATGATATTGTACTAATGGCTAACAACAGGACAGAGTTGCAGGAATTAATGAGCATCTGTGGTAGGGAAGGAGAGGAATTAGGTTTAGAATTCAGTAGCGAAAAATCAGCAGTCATGATTTTTAACGAGGATGAAGTTGAGAGGCTGAAGATACAGAATATTACAGTTGAGAGTGCTAGTAAATACAAGTATCTAGGAGTATGGATATGTGATGGTGCAGAATATCTCAGAGAGCATGAAAAGTATATAATAGGTAAGGGCAACAGAAATGCAGCTGTAATGAAAAATAGAGCACTTTGGAATTACAACAGGTACGAGGTGGTGAGAGAGATTTGGAAAGGGGTCATGGTGCCTGGCTTGACTTTTGGAAACGCAGTGCTATGCATGAAATCCGAAGTGCATGCGAGGCTAGAAATAAAACAGCGCGGAGTAGGTAGACTGGCTTTGGGGGCACATTGCAAAACGCCGAACAAGGGAGTACAAGGAGACATGGGATGGGCATCATTTGAGAGCAGGGAAGCGGTGAGCAAGATAGAATTTGAGGATAGGTTGAGGCAAATGGATGGGGAGCAATGGGCACGAAAGGTTTTCAGCTATTTATACATGAGGAGTGTAGACACAAAGTGGAGACAGCGCACTAGGAAATTAAGAGGAAAGTTTTTGGGCTATAGCGAAGATACGGAAGAGCAAGTCTCAGTTAAGAAGAAAGTTAAGGCCACAGAAAGAGATCGGTGGCTAGAGGGAATGCAGACAAAGACGGCTCTGGAAAGCTATAGATTAAACAAAATAGTTATTGCCAAAGAAAGCATTTATGACAATTCTAGGGGAAGCTCATTGCTGTTTGAGGCGAGGACGGGTGTTCTGCAAACCAGAACATACAGAGTGAAGTACCAGGAAATTGATACAGTGTGCACTGCTTGTAAAGAGGAGGACGAGACGGCTGAGCACTTGATACTCTACTGTAAAGGGCTTCACCCTATGCCTACCGAAGACAACATAGATTTAATAAAGTCATTGGGTTTTAGAGACAGCGAAGGGAGAGTGGATTTCAAGACTGTAGAGATTACCAAGCAAAGATTAAGTGAATGGTGGCAGAAATCGAGAGAAAACTAGGTGTTTTCTTATTCACTGATGGCAAGGGGGTTTCATAGCCTCACTTTCTTTGCACTGCGGAGTGAATATAGATTTCACATTTAAATATTCTAAGCTTAAATGGTAAAACAAAATGGCTAGGTGGCGTAAGCTACCGCCCGATCCAAAGGGCTGAGCCGTATTCATCCATCCATCCATCGGGTAGAGTTCCTCGATATGCTCCCCGGAGCAGAGTTGCACATTTGTTTTCCCCACGCCGCTATTTGCTAGGGATGCCACAAACTTTTTTCGAATCGAAAGTTCGATGATCGAATCAAGCGTTTCGAAAGGTTCGAAAGATTTCGAACTTTCCATATCAAGAAATTCGACGGAAATTGAATTTTCGAACTTGCCAAAGTAAGAAGTTCGACGCTTTTCGAAATTTCGAACTTATTGCGCTGCAAAATTCGATTCTTGTCGAACTTTCGAACTTCCTACACTAAGAAATTCAATAATTTTCGAACTTATTCATCTAAAGAATTCAAAAATTGTCAAACTTCCGATTCCTGAAAAGTAAAAAATTCGGCGAACTTCAAACTTTTAGGGTAAAAGTTCGAAGTCCGTCGAACTTCGAAAGACGGGCGGGCGGTTTCATTTGGATTCAAGCTTGCAATCCTTGCAATTTTACATGTGACGCCGCATTACTTGTGAAAGACAATGCCGTTTATTTCAATCGTCTGGCACGCTTGGTTTTAAAGAAATAGATTCCCGAAGGAGCGAGGAAGGACGACGGGTTTTTGACAATTGTCGTTTGTGCCATATTTGAAGTGCGCTATAGCCGAAGATATTTATGGTGAAGATGTTAAACTTTTTAAGAATGATCTATGTAAAGCCTAGGTAAGTGTAGTCTTAAGATATGATTACTATTCAAGACGAGTTTCGAAGAAATATCCAAACATGTATCTATGGGCAATTATGCCCTAAACTTGGTAATTTTCTTCGTCTTAATTGTTTGAGGTATCGCATTTAAATTAGCACCACGGACAGTACATATCATTAACATCTGCAGAATACAGATTAATGTATATATTGTTATTTTCATGCTGAGGAATAAATTAACTCAGGGAAAACAATTTCTAATATTGGTCAAACTCGGCACGTCATAAAGAATAATATATATATATATATATATATATATATATATATATATATATATATATATATATATATGTATATATATGTATATATATTATTTTTTTATTTGTTCATTTAGTTTTTGGGACGTTTCTTTTAGCCTGTACACATTTTGGTGGAAGAAACTTGTTTCGTAGTTCTGGGCCTGTGAATATTCGAGAATACAACACTTCCGGTAGATTCTTGAGTTTTTTTTTTGTTTTTTCTCGAGCTTTTTATTTTTTGCATTTATTGTTATGTTTATTTATTTATTAGTTCCTACCAAAGGCACAGTTATTTAGGACGAAAAGACATAGCTTCGAACTTCCGAACCACCGAGCATGTGAGGAGTAGCGCCTTCTGACAACGCGTCTGACAACGCGTCTGACAACGTGTCTGACAACGCGTTTCTAACAATGACCACCTATGCGACCTTTTATTCAGTGAAGAGTGACAGTAGCTATACATATGCATAAATCATTTCAGATTAAAATAAGCTTGACCATGCCCTCTTTCCCCGTATTGTTTTTTTAACAGTCCAAAATATCTGGGGGGGAGGGGGGGAGAGACAAAGAGAGAAGCTGGAGCCCTCCCCCCCCCCCCCCCCCCCCCCCCCTTCCCCCCGTTTTTCCTCTTCCGACGCTACTGGTGTGGTAGAACGCTCCTCAAACTCAAGTTGTGTCAGCTTCTGTGCTTTTTGCTCGGCGTTTCTTCCGTCTCGGAAAATAAACCTCCAAAGCAATCACAAACTAAAGAATTGTCAAGGTGCAGGCGAGCTGGTGTATGTTGATCATGATGCAAAATCCCGGGACAGGGAATAAAATTGGAGAGAAATAGTGAAAGAAGAAAGAGAAAAGGGGACAGGACGTCTCAAAATCAGTTGTGAGTTAGCGCCCGTCCTGCCGTTTTTGTGTCTTTATTGTACTTGTTGTGTTGCGCTTTTTAACCTATTAAATAAGTCTCAAACTCAGCTGAGTTGAGTTTGAGGCGTTGTCCTGAGCTGAGTTTTCAG